ACTAGTTATCAATTTACGACCAAGTTCCGCCGTATTCCTTAATGGTCGTCGATGGTATCGTGGTCTTGATTCTTCTATCGTTCGATTGCACAGGAGGAAAAACAAAATCATTAGTCATTTTGTAACTAAGCGCCTTCATCGGGATAATGCATATTTTTCCTTAATTCCTTCCTAAACAATTGTATAGTTAATTCGTTTGCGATGCCGTTTTGAGAGGTCATCGTTATGAATCGCGATGAATAAAAAGTGTGTACTGTGCCGTGAGGTAGGGCGAAGAAGAACGCCAGTTGATTATGACCAAGTGGAATACAGTCTTAGCTGAGCACATAGGGTATGTACGCCTGTTTGTGTAAGAGTTTAGATTATTATTCGTCAAAGATGGAGATACACGAATTCCCCTAAAAGTAAGAGTGTCAACTCTCAGACGAGTTGAGCTGCACTATATCTAATGTCAGCTTTCACTGTATTGCGAGTACGGTGTAGCATGAGTGGAGCAGCGTCGGTTCATTATGAAACATTTGCAGGTGAGACTTAAGCTTTTAGATGTCGATGAAGCCGTTCTGCCGACTCGTTTGTTCGTGAGTGGTAGGCTGTTGTTCAAAATCCCGTGGTTCCTAGAATTTTCGTAAGACAGCGAAAACGTCCAGATTCTACAGTATGTAGGGATATTTTATGGGCTGCTGACGTTTGTCACCCACAGTTCGACGAAGGTGCAGTCCACTGTTCCAGTAGTAATATCCTTAATGAACACTGTTTCGAGAGACTGTGTGAAACGGTCTACACATGTTAAAAGATAAGATTATCCATTTGACACTCATAAAGGTCCTAACAAATCCAGATGATCATGGTTGAAGCGAGCGTCGGAGGTTTTGAAGGAGCCTAAATGGACATTCACTGTGTTTGATCTAGCAGCTTATACAGAAGCTCGTTCACTTCCTCACGTCCCTTCCATACCAGGCCAACAACTTGAAGGTAACTCATACACCCCGAACGTACTGAAGATGTTTTGATAATATTTAGGCACGATTTGACGATATGTGTGACCCGGCAAAGTCTTATTACTGTTTCCATCTGAATGATCCCTAGTTTCAGTGTTGTGGAATGTAACTTGTGCAGCAGATTGATGTATTGTAATTACAATAATGTTCATTTCCTGAAACCGTTTAAAGAAATTTTGCTGGAAAAGGCGTTTGCAACTGAATTTTTTATATATAAATGCTCTTAACATGTATATGTGTGACCAGATTGTTCGACATGTATTGCGCTAATATATCACATAGTTCTGATAATCTTTGTCTTCTAATATCATTATCGAAATAAATTGTTTGCCCCAGAAATGTGTCGCGTATCTGAAATATGCTGTGAAACGTAGTCCACTTGTCGAGACTCTCAAGGGGAGTACTTGGCTAAAAATGGACTCAGAGTAAATTCGAGAGGATTATGGTCGATTAACAGAGTTAATTCTCAGCCTTCAACAGCACAATACACATTTAGGAGTTCCCTAGCGAATGCGCTATACCTCGGTCCGGTGCCTAGCGACCGTCTCAAGAAGAATGCTAAGAGTCACCAACCGCTGTTGGCCCATTTTAGTAAAACTTCTCCGATTGCCGGGTCCGATGCATCTATAGAGATACTAATGAGCACAGTTGCTTTCGAGGTAAGTTTCTTAAGTGTAGAGTGAGCCCAGTAATGCCATCGTCCTAATTGAGGAGTTTCAAATTCCCACGAAGTTGTTCGTTCAGAGGTCTCATCAGAAACGCGTATTTCGATGTGAACTATCGATAGAAACTTACCAGGCAGTTGGTCGTACGTAACTACTTGACTGCAGTCGGTTCTAGATAATCCAAAGCGGCCACGGTTTCGCTTTTTGGAGGGCGAATGCCTTGATCATCAATAATGTGACACCAGCAGCCACGGGAACGAGATTATACACCCTAACCAAACCGATTTTCGAAAAAATACAGATGTAATTTTTAAGGCAGTTGTCAAATCGTGAGTGTGCGGAGTGGATTTCGCATTCAATCTTAGGTAGTCACCAAATGAATGCCAACTATTGCTGTCTTTTTTCAGGGCCATGTGCAGGGCAGATGTCCATGTGTTGTTCGATGGCCAAATAGTTCTCAAGTCTGCCATGTGATCGAACTCGGTTTAGGCCAACCTCAGGTTTTCGGGAGCTAGTCGGTGAGCCTTCGATTGTAATGGTGTTCTTGTAGTCGCGGTGAGGTGCGCAACATTGCTGGTTAAGCACAGTAATTTTGGTCGCGTTTGGTACAATTCGCGAAGCTTAACAAGTATCTGTAGATAGAATTGTTTGGTCGTTACAGTGACTGGGAATAATCTTCAAACAGAAAAGAAAGTTATATAAACAGATGATTTGATATTTCCATCAACGAGTCTCCGTTTGTTAATATCAATATGTTTCAGCGGGTCTACATCAATGATTGCCATAGAATTATCTATTACAACAAAGATCCAGTAGATGAGTTCGCGCAAATTCACCTTGAGATCAACGTATCGCTTAACATATGAGGCAGCCGGTTTCCTATTTACGCCTGTAAGTTGAAAACCGGGTCATATAGACGGTTGCCAGGGTTTTTAGGAAAAAGGCTCATTTCTGAGACAGTGTCTAATAGGTATAGAAATCTGTCATCTCATCAGTGATGTATAACAGACGACTGAGTTTGCGGATGCGGTTACCATTAACGCGTGGCCGTGAGAGAGTTCCGCAAACGTTTCTGACTGTCGAGTCGTTTGGAGCTCGAGAAATTACATGGTTTTATTCAATTTTTGGAGGTACCAGCATCATTAGACATTATATGTCCTTCATGGTTTTAGAAACAGATCTCCGTTGTGATGAGCATCTCCAAGAAGTTTGATAGCTACGACGATTACGATGAATATCGCGATGAGTTAATGTGTGCAAACGGTCTGTGACATCATATCGTGTCGTTCGAAGTTTTTCTTTCACTAAATAAACCTCGGTGTTCGAAGTTCTGGTGATCTCCAGTATTCGAGCGAAAGACGCAGCCAACTCACCTGCACAGTTGTTTTGGAATGAAGAAGCACTGACTACACCTGTTCGGGAAGCTTAGACAAGAAATGCTTTCTAGAGAGTGCTTCATCAAAGGTCCGTTGACCAATATCCTCCCTCATTCGTAGCAACATGTCTGTTGCTGAGCCATGTTTTAGATCAAAGTAGTTGAAGAGTCGGTTTAACCGTTGTTGACTGGTTAAATTTACACGCTTAAGCATAGCCTTCCTTAAAGTTTCGTAATGTTTCGAGACATCACATCCCACATACTAGGTGGGACGTACCAGCTGGAATTTCATGGTAGTGCTTTCACTGCTGAGAGAAAACATGCACGTTGCTCTGTCACTCCTTGTTCATGGAAGTCAGCTTCTGAGTAGCCTTCGATATTGTCGGGTCAAAATGGCATCGGCCGAAACGAGATAGGCGAAAGTCTTAATCTTAAATAACTTAGGAGTCCGCTTCGCCATGATGGATACAAGGCTCTTGTCAACGCACTCAGTCGATATTTCTGTTCCAAATCTGTCTGGCATATGTTTGGTCTCGTAATTGGTTATTATGATCGCTTCTGAATCCTTGGCTCAACGTGATTCAGTCATACGTCGGCAGCGTTTCCTGGTCCGCGCCCCTACGAACGCAATCCTCAGATCCTGGATACAAACCAATCTGGTGTGGTACGCTAACTCCTGGTACCGTTCTACGTAAAACACCTTTGGTGGCAACTCGAGGATCAGAGATCGCCTCATGCTCTGCCAACACCTTCGTCCTACAATCGCACGTTTGCCGATCAGTCCCACGAACGAAACTGCAACGTATCGAAAGTGCAGACGCTTTCTAGCGAGGGGCTCCTGCAGTGACCCACTTTCATCAAGAGAACGCGATTGATGTAATGGAAACAATTATTATTATAACCAATTGTACCAATGATTGTTTTATTGTACTTTTTTGTTTAACCGTACTAAAGACGTCCTTCCTTCCGTTGATTGTGACCTTGCACGAACTTGCGTTTGCTCAGTAGTTCCGCTTGTAATCCTTTGGCACGATCTCGATATTATTTCGATACCACGAGATCGCCAACAAATATATCTCGCTACAACCTTCAGTCGTTTTCTGATTTGTGGTTTACTCGAAGATTTAGCCTGTTCTGGTACTCAATCTTCTTGTTGTGGTGGTCATAGTCAAACGCGGCTTGATGCCACACTACAGAATAACATTACTATTATTATAAAGTTCTATTTACTGCTACAATTGCATTGCGTATTCTCCTTGACCGCAAGCAATAGTAATTTAAAAGAAGATGCGATATCAATACAAGCTATCCGGACGTTCACCCTCACGCTTGCCACTACTACTACTACTACTACTACTACTACTACTACTACTACCATTCCAACTATTGCTGGGACTGGAAAATTCAGTAGCTGGAGGATTTCTCTAACGTTTTGTATCCGACCTTCTAGTCCAAGCACACAAATCTCTCTTTAAACTATTTTTTCAATCTAAAAAGATGCAGATAAACTTCCGAAGTTGAAAAGACCGAACTTTTTGAATTTTGAGAGGTATGATAATCCAATGTCACCCAGTTGTTTCCAATTCTCCTTGGTTTCCATTTCAGATGGTGTAAGTACAACAATAAATTATTGCCGTCCCACGCGTAGCATTCAGAATCTCTCTTCGATACAGCTTTATTTTATACAGACCATTTTCTACTGCTGAAACGATACAGAAAACGCGTTTGAAGGTAAATGATCCAGGTTGAGAGCTTGGATAAAGCTAATATCCTCAGTTCCAATGACAGTTCAAGAAAAAGATCTGATAAAAGCTTCTGATGCTTCAGTTATTTCACTCAGATATGGAACTTTGTAAAGATCAAGTCCTTCTTGATCTGCTGAATACTAAGTTCAAATTGTTTATTCTTTCTACTTTCATTCATCTTCTCAAGGTTGTGGCTCAAGGAGCTCGCTTACTCGCGTATTTTGGTTTCGTAGGTTGTAACGTAGGTTTTCGTTTTACCTGAATGTACCTTGTGTTCTTAGAGAGTGTTGATTTCAGTATGTGATGATATCTTTAAGAGAAAAGAACAAGAGAAAAGGTTAGCTGACGACTAAGTAAGCACAATAAATGCACCAGTGTAAGCTTAAATTCAATGACGAAGCAATTGACGACATTCAGAAATAACATCAACGTGACATTAGTAAAAATGTAACAGTTAAAATAAGAGGTTGATGGTTTAATGTTCTGAACGTGTTACGACGTGGTTATGCTTGGGAGCGCATGATTATAATCATGAACGTGTTCAGAATTTACTGTTAGCAGTTAATATTGCAACATCAATGAGGTCTAAAGATTTTCTGTGTATATTATTGGGGGATGCTCTTACTTTACGTCCGTTTGGAGACCTAATATTGAGTTGACTATTCACTGATTAGTGACTTAAGTCTCTAAAACTTTGCAACTTGTAATTTACATATTATACTTGAGAATATCTTTAGAGAAGTTTCGGCTTTGTTTTTGTGGTTTTAAGCGCTACTCAATAAGCAGAGTTGAATTTCGGGAAACTGAACTTTTCAGTAGGTGATTTCCATGAGGGGATGCAGAGTTTTTTTCTTTCAAGTGACAGTGATTTTTTATGGACGAATCAATCATGTATAAGATGACAGGTCTCGGATTTTGGCGCGAAATACACTCATTCATTCGGATAAAGGGAGTTTTGGCATTTTAGCTGGTGTCAGTTCGTGATTTCTAACCGTAATCACAAACTGTAAATCATAACTCTAATTCCTCACACAGGTTTATAACCCTCATTTGGTCCTGATTATTAGGTGGACACCCTCTAGGTCAATCTGGCGTCGCTCAGAGGTCGTCTATAAATTACAGTTTTACCACTATTTCAAGCTCTAAAATCCCTACATAACCTTCTTCTCAGTTTTATGGCGTGTAATATCTAAGTGGTTTTTATCCGGAAAATGTCCTTGAGGTACTTTTTGAATTCTTTCGAATTTACTTGGAGTTAGAAGTGTACACTTCCCATCAATCAAATATGAAACGACTCAATTTCGGTAAAGTACGGTGTTTGATTTTGAGTTGTGTTTTATGGATTTTGTTAATTTTCACTACGGTAGGTTTCTGTTAATAAGCGTCGTAAATAACATGGTTTCACTAGTTTCACGGTCGTTTACTTTTTCCAGCTCCACATTGTTGTATGAATTCATTTCAGTAGACTGTTAGTTTCAAAACACCTAGTTACAGTAGATGACCTCAAGCATTTCAAGTGCCATCGCATTTAAGGGTCTGAACTGGGTGCATGTTTCAAGAAAAAACAGTGAAAGGCGACCCAAATATTGGCGAATACAAAACTGTTTCTATAAAAACAGCTGGTACTAAGATGTTCCCTTTGAAAATAATACCATTAGTGTTTAATGCATCACCATTACGTCATATTTCATGCATGTGATTTGTATGTCAAAATTTGACCTATTGTAAATATAAATGTTTTAAATTTTGTGGGTGTGCTTTTCTTTAGCGTTGTCTTATCAGTCAGGATTATCATGAATTTTTCGGAAAACTAAAATAATGACACAGCAGGTGCAGAATAAAGCAAAGCAACACAATAATGTAGTACTTATTCAGGATGATAAAAGCAACTAATATTATTTCTTTGTAGTCGACTTAAGAGCCATCATTTGAGTTTTCTAACTGCTTGCCTTTTCTGCTCCATGGATGACAGCCACAAAGTCTATAAATGTTCATACTTCTCAAATGGACGGTGACTTCATGAGCTTAGCGCGTTCGGTCACGGGCGATTTACTTTTAAACCAAAAAACATCGCTCTATGAAGTAGGTAAAGACCAATTGTACTTATCACTAGTTTAGCCACTCTAGCTTGTGCAGTGTAGGAATGGAGGTAAAACTTTCGTATTCAATGTGGCTGAACATTGAACACACTCCTAAATTTGTCGATTACTTTTGGGCTTAAATAAATCCTCACCTAGAGCAGTTTGGTTGGGGGAATCACGTGACATGGCGGAAAATCATTCTGAGCAGCTCAGTTGTATTCAGTTTCCTGTTCTTTAAATCTGTCTGATTTTCAAAGACCATTGAATTAATATGACATCGCTAATAAGTTAATCACTCATAATCAATGCAAAGCCTCACCAAAATCTATTGATTGAGTGAAGTTATTTTCTTACCATTTTGTGCCAGATTTTGTGCTCAAGTAAAAAAGGGAACACCTAACAAGGATTACGTGACCTTAAAGTTTATTGTACTGTCATATAATTAAAATGAACTGTATTTGTGGTCAAATTTGAAAAACCACTAGATATCAGCTTAGAAACGTCAAACGGTACAAACACAAAGTGACACTGCAGTATTAAATCTATGAAAAAATAACTACATATCATTGCGTGTTCTTTCCTTCACGTTAATTGGCTCAGATAATCTATTGGTTAATGAAATTACTGCGATGTTGAGATTTTGTTTTATTTCTGAGATTAATTTTTCTAGAAAGGCAGGAGTACTTTGTCGTATTCCGTTTGAGGCTTGGTTAGTGCACTTCATAAGTAATACCTTCAACATAGTAACCACATAAAGAATTTACTGAACCAGAAGCTCTACATGATCGAAATTCTCAGTAACTTCCAATATAATTTCACTGTGCTTCCAACCAGTAGGTCGCAATTTCGAATCCTGGATTACCTACCGTAGTATTAGAGATCAGAATCGATCACAATGGTGGTGTGTACATTCTTTGTCTTCCTTTAAACTGAGGTTAAAATGACTTTATACCTTTCTTTCTACGAAGTAATTCTTTCTTCCTGTATCATATCTTTATATGGAATCTTTTTTACTACCATCGAACTAAATGGTTCCATGGATTTGATGTTCATCTTGTTGTACTAATATGTAACAACTTGGACCGATACATGTGTGCGCCTGATCCTACGTTGCAGCTGACTGACTGAGAGATCAGTTAGTATCACTAACCCTTACTCATTGTAGCTCCAAACAGGGTACGTAATCATGTACTTCGTAATTCAGTGACATTTATGTATTTCTATTTTCAGTAAAGTTGTAGTAAGATAAAAGTGGTTCGCTTTGTTTCACGATTACTAATCATCAATTTCTATTTCTTCATGGATCCTACTTCAGTTCACAATCGGACAGTCCCCACATGGATCATAAAATCAATGAAATAGCTGAAAATATTAAGCAACGTGGTCGTGAGGGTGCGTATCCTCTCTTCAAGGAAACGGGTCCGGAATATGTGATGCCGAAATTTCCGATTGAGAGGAAAGAGATGGAAGACCATATCTTGGAATTAAAACTGGCCCGGTAAGTCAACGCGCATTTCCATTGTTATCCAGATATATGGGAAAAGCTTAAATAAGTGGTGGTTGGAAAAAATGCTGAAATATGTGACTGTTTAGTGGTAGCAAAGTTATCCCGAAATGCAACTGTTACTCTAAGCAAATCACATTATCTCTTTGTCGTTTATTTCCATTTTCTTTGTATGCAAGTTGTCAAATGCATTTCGAACCCTTCAAATTCACGACTTACATTGTGGTACTCTTCAGTTTTCTAGAGAATTGTTTCTTAACTATTTTGAGGGGGATTTAGATTTTCAACCTTAATCTCAAGTTGTAAATCCTGTAATAGATCCAGGTGTTTTTCAAATGAATTCATTGCAAAGAAATAGTCGGTGGCAGATATCTGTTCAGCGCTTTATATACGATGTTTATCTGGTTTAAATGAATCAATAAATATTCCATTCCTCCTACCCACTTTGCTAAATTTCATTCGCTTCTCTTGCTTATTTTAGGAAACTAATTAAAATTTCACAATGCTTCAGAGTAATTTTTTGTATCTTGTGTACTCCATCAAAACAAAATTGCTTTCATAATCCTGGAGTGTAAACTGAAATATAATGGAGTTTTCTAGTGAGGTGATGGTTATTTCTTGTGTGTTTTTATTATCACTAGTTCTCATCTCTAGTCGATTTATTCATCCCCTCTGTAACAAGTTATGTCTAATTGTTGTCCTAACTATCTTTGTTTCAGAGCATTAAGTGTGGCAGACAATGATTCTAAACTTCTCGTTAATGAAGAAAATCATGATCTTACCATTTCGAATCCTTCAGCTACCTGTAAAGCTATTAGTTTAGATGACTGCAATTCTGTTGAAAGCATAACAAACGATCATGGATCTGTGTTATTTAGCAAAAAGAATATATTTAACAAAGATTCTTCCAACTCTTTATCCGTACTCCCTGAAACATCATCTGATGAACCAAATCTTCACTCTAGCCAGTCTGCTACTTCAGACGTGAATACGTCTTTGGAATCTGGTAACCGGATGCAACCTAGGCTTACTCAAAACAATATTCAGTTTCAAAATGAGCAGAACTGTGGAGGTTCTTTATTCCGAAGATTATACAGCATCCCTAGTACAAATAACGATGGATTCCCAATATATTTAGCACCTGCGCCAAATCCAGGCGTATTCACAGATGTAGTTCCTGTTCTCCAAGAAGTAGAAGAAGCGGCTGAAGCACACATAGAGTCAGCAGCTGTGGAATTTCAACGTGTTCAAATCTGCGGGGATGATACTCTTGGTGTAAGTTTGCCAAACCCTGATTTACACTTGGTTATTTAAAATTATACTGGTATCGCTTCAGAAATAAACACGATACCATTATGCCAAATGTTTGAACTCACTTTTTATGTGATCTTTGAGGCAAAATCGTAAGAATTACGTTAAACGAACCAACAAATGCTGACTGGATTACGCTTATACTTGTTTACTGTCACTTTTAAATGGTATCAAGAGCTTGGTTTTCCGGATGTCTTTATTGGCAAGCTAATTTCTGAGTGTTTGTCTTATCACAAACTAGTATTCATATGAATATATATTTACCTATTTAGAGTGGACGTTAAATACCAAATTTTTTATAGTCTTCATGATGTACAACAAAGCCGTAATCTTTTCATGTGTAACTTCTTAGGTTTTCTGACCTGATCTGTCATATTAAATGCCAAGATTTGAGGTTATATGATTGTTTCAGTACACATCTAGTCACATGTTCCTTCATTGTGTAGGCAGATACTATAAAATTCTCGTAGTCCACATTTCAAAATGACCTTAGGTAGTCTCTGGAAACTGGGAAGTATTAGACAGCTCTTGGTCCTAGTATGGAGCTTCTCAGTGGAGGACATACGTAATCCCTCCGGATATCAAAATCAAGGCCTTCAAGTATGGTAGTGAGTGCCTAACTTTTAAATCACTGAGTTTGTATTCGGAGGTTTACATTTCAAACCTTAATCAATTCGTGATTTCCAACAACCATCTTCCACTGTTGTTGATGAGTGACTGCCTTGCATCCTACATAGTTGAAATCCACTGACCATGGTTTGTCATTAGTACTCCTGAAATTACTTCAAAATTAGTCATCGAAGAGTGCTTGATTGTTATTAATATAAAGGATCAGTTCGTGATGTAAACGTTTTACATCAGTTCTAAGGATCGCTCATTTTTACCAAACAAGCAAAATGTTTCTTAAACTGCTCTAATAATTTTGGCCAAGTTGGAAATCAAGCGCTTAATTTTACTATTATTACCTGAGGTAGCATCATATTTCACTCTATTTCAACCACGCTAAAGAGTTATATGCTCCAGATGCAAAAAAGAGTTATGGCAACTTGAATTGATGTACATTCCTACCAGGTTTTACTCTGTAACTGACTGACCAGGTACAAACTCTTTCTAAACATATTTAATGAAAATTTCAGTAATTTAGTCGGTTGGAATACAAGTATGAGTTATGGTTTGTTTTACAGATAAAACGATAATACTGAATAATCAGCTGGCAATCAGGTTGTTATACCTTTTCATTATGATTCTTATTTTAATATATTTCCAGTGTACAGAATACCCATTTTTCAATAAATGGTACAGTCTATTACTGGAAATCTCGCGTTTATTAGTGGATTATATATATATATCCCTAGTATTTGTAAATTGGGCATAATAGTGGAAAATGATGATTCTTTCTCACTTATCCCTCGTTAATCAAACATCCCCCACCATATAAACCTTATTTACTCAACAATTTTCTCTGATTTTCATACGGAAGTATGGTCGATTTTTCTTGATTATTTTGTTGCCCTTAGTTTACATCATGCTTTAAATAAGCTTCAAATTTTCACGAGGGGGAGCAAACCGCTCCGTAACTAACTTATATTAGTATCAGTCGGCTCAACACACTACTACTTATGTATTATATGGACCACACATGGCTCTTTACGTTTTATTTAGTTATCGTGTTATTTATCAATTTTTATTAAAATGAATTAGTACTTTATCATGAATTTTCTGAAGCTAGTACGAATTGTGGTTTTTTTTATTACCAATACTGTGATGTTGTTTTGATAAGTTTTAATCCTAATCCAATATTGATTATTTAGATTGTCACTCTGTTGTATAATTGAAGATTACTAATTGTAATAACCAAATTAATAAGAAATGACTTCTATTCAAAATATGATTGTAAATAATTATAAACTCGGGCATTATGTATTGGTGTATGCTTTACTCCATGAACTGTATCCATTGTGTTAAGAGTAATAATACTAACTGGTTACTGAGACTCGAGTATTAAGAATAAATTTCAAACCATTCACCGGGTCTGTTGTGAGATAGTAACTCGCTGAAGACAATGGTGGACGGTGTCGCAATATTGTGGATTGGTTGAACTTAGACATTAACACCGTTGGATGCCGGCTCAGTGGTATAGAGGTTAAGCGATCGCGAGAGAGACCGATAGGTCCTGGGTTCGAATCCCGCGGGCGAGATCGTGTTTGCGCACTGTTGAGGAGACACATACTATGACAAAACGGCCGTCTAGTGCTTCCAGGTTCTCCATGATGGTCTAGCTTCAATCGACTCATGAACTCAATTATTAAGTTACTATAATATCCATAAAAACCCCTTCTGATAACATTCACAAACTGTTTTTCAAGTTTGACCACTGAAAATCATGTGATTGAAAGTATTTTGTATGGGTTCATCTAGTGGGATTTTATTTATTCCCTAATAGGTTAGTTTTATAAATTTTCAGAATAATTCTTTTTTTTGAGAAGATTAAGCATTCCGAAATCCGACCAATCTTCATTAAGTTTTTTACACATCTATTCCAAATTAGCTTCCTTCGATTCATCCACATATTGCTGGAATTTTCGCCCTGTCACAGGTACCATCAATCCATCTAGTAATTTTTATTTTAATATGTGTACACTATAATAATATTTTACACATGAATATCACTAATAATAGTATACTCAGTTAGTGTTTTGCACTTGTCCAATAGATTTCTCTGAGTGACTAAAATCAGTGTGTGATTGTAGCACTTTTTTCCACACCAGACTCTAACTGCTGATTAAAATGGAAGTTTCTCGTATTTTTTTAAACTGATGAACAGATCTTACTAACAAAATAATAATCTTAAATGGGAATAAGTTTGTTTTTAATAAAACTAAAGTTCTTATTAATTAAATTAACTAATTTATTCGATCACATAAATATTAGTACAGGTATGGGATAAAAATAAATATTCACCACATCAATAGTTGGATAAGATTGTGAAAAAATAAACAAAGGAAAGCCATTATGATCAAAAAAATGGTGAAATGAATGAAAATAAGCTTACAAGGGTAATGTATAATGTGGGGAACAGTTCAGATAAAATGCAACCAAAAAGAATTCTCTCAGTTAAGGGAATTCCTTTTATTTCTTATAAAGTCAAGGGAAATTATGTCACGATCTCCATTGGTTTCTGTTCTGAGCCATATCTGATGACGTATCGGGCCACTGAGTTACACTGTCTATCGAACCCTAACCAGGCAGTCATGGTTCATTGACAGATCCCAATCCTATACAGCTTTCTTTCATCACACTTCACCGTGCCACAAACTGACCACTCTTTATAACCGATTATGGATTGGGCAAACAAAACGGGATGTAGAATTCGCTTGGACTACATTATTAGTACATATCCATGCCACCTAAGGTAGTTTTTCAAAGTGTTGACACCATCTAGATGATCGTCACCGAGCCAGAACAGATGTTGTCGAACCTCTGCATTTCTAACATAGTATTACTTACTTACTTACTTACTTACGCCTGTTACTCCTCGTGAAGGAGCATAGGCCGCTCACCAGCATTCTCCATCCAACCCTGTCCTGGGCAATCCTTTCTAGCTCCTTCCAGTTGTAATTCATCGTTTTCATATCTGCTTCTATTATCCGACGCAATGTGTTCTTTGGCCTTCCTCTTTTACGCTTCCCTTCAGGATTCCGCGTTAGGGCTTGCCTCGTGATGCAGTTTGACGATTTGCGTAATGTATGTCCTATCCATTTCCATCGTCTTTTCCTAATTTCTTCTTCAGCTGGAAGTTGGTTTGTTCTCTCCCACAGAAGGCTATTGCTGATGGTATCCGGCCAATGGATGTTGAGTATCTTGCGTAGACAGCTATTTATAAATACTTGTACTTTCTTGATTGTGGTTGTTGTAGTTCTCCAAGCTTCAGCTCCATACAGTAGAACTGCCTTGACGTTCGTATTGAAGATTCTCACTTTGATATTGGTTGAAAGTTGTTTTGAGTTCCATATGTTCTTCAATTGTAGGAATGCGACCCTTGCTTTGCCGATCCTCGCCTTTACGTCTGCATCTGAACCTCCTTGTTCATCGATGATGCTTCCTAGGTATGTGAAGGACTCTACATCTTCCAGAGTTTCTCCATCAAGAGTGATACTACATATTAATAATCCTTCGGAGAAAAATGATGATCAATCACAGTCATCGAATATCCACAACATGAGGAGGCCGGGTTTCCGAAGCATGGAGTAGAATTACTCTCACCAACGTGTTGTAAACCCAACTTTATAAAGCCAGACCAAAATCAGGACTAGTTCAAATACAGATTTGTTTCAGCCTTGCAAAAGTGCTTTGGGTTTAAATGTAAAGTACATGCCATACCTACGGACATTGATTTGCAAATAAGTGGGTTTAGTTTGTACAGTTTGATTATCATTGCACAGTACGACAGCATCGTTGGCATAATCATGATTGAAAGTCCTCCTCCAGATGAAAGACCCACACCACCACTACTTACTTTTCTGAGAGCTGTTTCCAGAATGCTGTCAATGACAAAGATGAAAGTAATGGTGAGATTGGGCATCCCTATTTAATCCTACTGCCCGATTCTCGCAGGTCGCTCTTCCACGGGTTTTAAGTGATCTTCGAAGCGTGACGGAAACCAGTAGTTTGGACTCAATCAGAAGTAAACTTATTTCCCGATAGTTGTTGCATGATGCGATTCCCTTTTGAAGATCGGGATGGCGGTCGCTTGACTTCAGGATGTTGAGGCACTCCATGTTTGTGAAACGTTTTCGACCAAACCGGTTAGTTCGCCAACAAAAGGTCTCCCACCTTTGAAAGGGTTGGAGTTAGTCTTCTGGGCCTAGTAAGTCATCATGCTTCAAAATTTGGAGTTCCTTGCGGACATCCCGCTTTTTAAGCGGGTCGTCACCGGCTATGGATGACAAAACAGTCTGATCGATATTGGAAAGACACCAGACCAATTGAACTGGTTTTGGAAGAACTCTGTCCATTGTCCGAGTCGTCGTTAACTGTTACTGGTGTTTTGTCGGCTTCACAAATCCTTTTTCTCAAATCCAGAGTTACTGCCAGTGGCTAAGTTGAATTAAAAGTGCCTCTGACAGTTAATAGATATGTTCGCTATCAGATTCGCGGCTAACTGAATTAGACTCGGGTGCCTTAAATAGTTGTAGGGAGCAAGTAAAAGCCCAGTGCATATAAGAGGGACGTTCGGTTGAGCTAAAAAAGAGACTGACTACTAGCCTTGAGTCTAACTCCGTCTGATATTTGGTTGCGACCGGAGCTACAGTCGACTCGCTTATATCAATCACTTTATGACGATGAGTTTTCTGAGCACTTAAACGAAAGATAGCGGTAGCGCTAACCAAACCATGACCAGAGTCCAGATAGGTACGCCAGAATGAACGGTAGTCTTGTACATAATCATGCCAGGGAGTACAACGCCTATGACTTCCGAAATTTGGTGCTGACCAGTGACAGGTTTTTGTCTGTGCAAAGCTGCTGAAGACGGTCACCATTAATTGACCGGAGATCGGCAAGCCCTTCTCGACCACCGAAGAGACTCTGCTCTGTACCTAGACATCCGATCTGTGGGTTTGAACTTCTGACTAGCACTAAAATGTGTCGAGTGCGCTTTTTTTGAGATCATGTAACTGGTTGTAAGATTAATCCTTGATTGTATGCGGACTGCAATACGTCTTGGGGTAGGCGGAGATAACGACAGCGTATTGTTATTTTACTTCGACTTCTCACCAATGTGCTAGAGCCTTTTTATCTAGCGACACAAAAGCGACTGTTATTAGGGATCCAATCGATTAATGCTGCTTCTGTTGTGCTATGGTGTTCAGTGCAACACCTCCAGCTAAACCAAAGGAAGATCCCGTAGAGTCCTCTGGTAGGCACGTGTAAAACAAATTTTTTTGAATCTACAGATAGAGATCGAATTTCTTAAATTTTGATAGAGTCCTAAATATAGACCTCAGATAGACAACTAACGTTGATATTAAGATTTTCCACAGACATCGCCAAGCTACCTGTTGTCCAATTTATATTCGTGTGGGAACGTTAAAAGAGGCCAGTTTGAATGACTGACTGAATGAGTGAGTTTTCGGAAATGGTGGTTCATAATCTGTATTCGGTGATAGCATTTAAAATTTCTACAAGTCATTTTCTTGAATTCGTTTGAGAAGGACAAAATTTCCTCCCTAGACAATCTGCAGTGTGAGTTGTAAAACAGAAATAAATAAAAGATGGCAGCAGAACATAATAGAAAAATAGAGCATGATAAAACAAAATCTAAGGTAAATGAGTAATAATTATCTCTTCAGTTAACGGTGAACCTGAACATGCGAGTCGGTTTCTCCATAAGTATTCATTGTCATATTTGTGAAAAGGCTGGGATACTGCTTGGCTTTCCTGATCGACGAAGGTGGTTTTCTTACGAGGTCACTCCCCGAGCCTTTGGTCTGGGGATTTAATCCACATGGCAGTGAAGTAACTTGAAGTAATACAAGTCAATAGCCAAAATATCTGATATCACTATCGGTTTATGTTATGTCGTTCTCGAACATTTTTAATTCAGTATCCAATGCAACTACAATAGTAATAATTGATTCTGTTAGATGATTTTTTTAGAGACTAGTTTCTCAACTCTAAGACATCAAAGGTTAAAAAATGCTGTTGGTTGTTGAGACCATAAGCTATTGAAATTTTTGTTCCTGGTTGTTTTGTCTTCTTGATGTGGCTTCACGGAACCAGTTATTCGTATTGGATTAGATTTCTGGTGTTAACTGGATAGGACTGTATCCGTAATAATTTATTCTCGCATAATAATCAGAGTACCCTACTATTACTTTAAATAGTTGCGGCGTCTTCTAGTGTACAAAATCGTTCGTCTTAATTGCAGAATCAAGTTATTAGAATCGAGAACTGGTCGAATCGTAAATAAAACAAGTAATTTGCGAAGGTGAGAAAAATAAATGGTTATAGATTTTAGGCGACATAATTGGAGGTCGTTCATAGTAACATGGCTCCATTGCCTTTGTTTTTTCTATAAACACTGAACACGCGGTCAGTTTTCATTTTTTCGTCCTTCTCTTTACCCATGAAATTTCTATCCTTCATATAAGGTATTTCAAAAAAACTAGTGCAACAATATATACTTGGTTAGTCTGTTTCATTATTTGTGGATGTAAAGAACTGCCATTTAAAGGTTTAACATTTTATCTGTATTACAACTAATGAAACTCTGGTCATAGCATGTTCTTGTTTTCTCAGGATCATGTTTTTTTGTGAAGTGATCTAACAACAAATAGATATTGTTGTCGCATTAAAATTCTTTCTTGGACTTTGCTATTTTGTTTACTAATTCTGTTTTCTTTTTGACTAGTCTTGATGAAATTTTTCCAATAAATGTTGTAGACTAAAACATTACTCTTAGATTCAAGTAGTTTTAATAAATGAACGAAGTTTGGAATTGTTAAAACAAATAGATAGAGTGCCAATCAATAAATGAAATGGAATGGCACTATGTGACAGTCTACAAGACCTGATTATTGACTCAAACTCCCGAACGAAATAATATTAAACGTAGACAAAACTACTAGCCAGAAAGAAAGATTTTTTGTTTAATAGCGTGTTTATATACAAATGGTTAGGCAAAAATAAGCATGGTTATTTGCCGTAAGCGTTTAGAGGATATCATTTTTATAATTTACCCACTCTCCAGTGAACCAATATTTGACTGTTAGAGTTAATTTATTTCCCATCATATCAAAAACAAATTGATGTAGACGAATTCGTCTAGTAACTTGAAAGGGTTCATTTTTCTAGCCTGATGTTTGTTTTCACAAATATATTCATCCTTCTAAAGCCTTGTGAAATAAGCTCATTTTTATACCAAAAAATTGTTTTAATTGTGATCAGTTTTCTTCGTTTGTTTGTATATGTTCTTCACAGTTTGATGGCCATTTTAATGTTTGAAGGGATTATCGCACTGATTGGTAACATTTTGTATTAGATAACCAATTACACAATCAGATACGTAGTCACGTGAAAACTATGCATGTTTGTTGTTATTTCATATATACATTGCTGTCAGATTGCCATGTTTGTAATTCTCAGTGCATCTGACATGCATCATATTAGTTCATGATCAATTTTGAAGCTAGATGAAGACTTAAGGAAATTAAAATTAAGTGTCTATGGCTCATTTTTTAATCCTATTCCCATCCTTTTTTGTGCATAAGTTGGGTTTTTATAGACAATTTATGTTCGTTTAATTTATATCGTTTACGGTGCATAATGGATTATATATTAATAATGAAATTAAAACTTGAGTAAAAGTCTCACGTTACTACGCTATTCAATAACACAAAAATGGAACTCAACTGAGTAAAGCATTTACTTAAAAGAAATGAGTCAGTAGAGATCCTAAGTAACTATGGGTTTAATATTTAAATAAATAGTAATAGCTATTTTATGAGATTCGGCATGGTAATCGGTGACTTTGGAAAACGAATACTACATGCTAATACTTAACGTCTCATATTGTGGTAACCTATAACTTAATATATGTGACTTAACTACCTCGGCTGGTTTACAGTTTTGAGTGTTTAAGTGCATGGTTACTTTTGTTTCTCATTCGCTGGTTGGTTTCCGTTTATTTGACTTTGACTATGCATGTATCACTTTGTAAAATGTAAACTACTAATCTATGTAACACCACATTACCTATTCCTTATAATTATAAATCTCATTTACCATCTACTCGATAGACGATCGTTTTAATGCTGTTTGAAATGTTATTTTGGCTGCTTTGAATAACTTAACTCATTTATAATCAGTATCCCAGGTATATTATTTTATAATTTGGAAAGTGATGAAGTTTTAATCGAGACTATGAATGTTATAATTATGGGTTTCCCTTAGATTCTATTTCGTTAGTATAAACAAATTATACAACGAATTATTTCTTTGTTATCACAAAATACTATGTTGACAATCGTATTTTTAGTTAGTGATTTACTTAACACATTTATATCACCCACAATACCACTGATTATTGCAACTTGATTTTATGATGTGTTTTTTCTCATGGATTTGTACAACTTGTCACGGGTTATTTTTATTTTCTTTTTGGCTAACATTTGACAACCTAATAAAATTATATTACACTTATGGTGGCTAGTTTTATAAATTGTTTTTTTGTTGTTGACAATAATGGACAATGTACAGTGTTCTTTCCTCTACAATTCAAGTATTTTCTACAAGTTTAGTAATTTCCATTTAAAAGGTTGCTTGTCTGGAAAATTAAGTGACATAAATAAATCCTTACAGTGTTGCATATTCAAGTATAAGTATTTCAGTTCAAACGCCACTCCAATTCACCTATTTTGTTTTGGGCAGCCTGGTAGTTTTATTAGCCTTCATAACTAAGTTTTGGTTCAAAACCGAGTACGTGCATCTATATATGGTAAATGAGTTATATGATACTCTCATGGAACTATATTATCAAATAACTTCTGAATTCATGTATATAAAACATGATTTGAATGGATTTATCAAGCTTCTATTTTATGCTAATCAAACTTTTGCCATCGTAACTTTCTTATTTAGTAAAAACAGAAATATTATGCAGTTTAATTATTAATTCGCTGTCTGACTTTCAATCTGGTTGAATTGTTTTCTTAATTTATACTGTATGATATTTTTTTACGTACGCACATAATTACAATTTATTTCCAATGTTTATCAGAAATTGTTTTTGTTTGTACGTATATTCACTTTTTTTAAATCTTATAATTATAGGTTCCTGTAGATGATTTACATTTAGCTTCAGAAGCATTGATTAAAGCCTTATTATTACGTCAAAAATACATTACTTCATCACAACAATCATTTCACTGTACAACTAAACGGTATTTAAGTGTACTGGATTCAGGTTCAGTAAAATTATTGGATTCAGAGGAGAAGCAATATAAATCTATACACACCCCTGTATTTGGTAAGAGTTGTATATTTTAATTTTCCCATATGTTTACATTGCCTTGCTACTAGTAATAACAATAATATTAATAATAATAATAGTGTTACATATTACTTATATCATTTGGTGGATTTGTGTACAGCTTTTTTGGTAGTAACTATTTACTGCGAATCAATCACTCCTAGTTTCATATTCATATTATGTATCAAACGCTCCAGTCTTTTTATGTTTTATTTTCTACTGTGATATAAAATTGTGTAATACGTCGACTTTTATATTGTACTGTTAATATATCTACCTATCGACAAATTTAAACAGTATCCTGATTAGTTTTCCTATCAGAAGTGAATGAAACCTATTATCCAATAGTAGTTTAGTTTCTTGATGAATTCAGTTGACTTCATGTATAAAGTGTTTTTTCTTTCATAATTCATGCTTATAGGTAAAGACTTTGACTTTAATAGGTGTTTGGGAATTTATTCTTGCGAAAGGTGTTTGTGTTAAGAAACCCTCTTTAGAGTCCTCCAAAATTCCACTGGAATTGGTCAAAAATGTTTTCAAATCATCATTTTGAAATCTCCGAACTACTTGTGTAAAGTTGTACTAGTCTTGAGAAAGTTGCATCCTTAATGGGTGATTCTCAAGGATACTCTGAATCCCACAAATACCCACGCTTTTTCTACCGTATCATTATTCACCGAACCTAGATCTTTCTAGGTTTTCTTCTTGGTTCTTTTGTGCTCTGAGGTAGAAAACCATTGCTTAGACGTCATGAGCTCCTAGTGTTCTATTTGTTTGTATGAATAGCTTAGCCACTAGTTTCAAATCTATTTAGTTGATAAGTGTATAATTCTCAAATTATTATACAATCGAATACCAAAAAGCATATTGTGGATAATTCTACTTCTTCTTACATATATATGAGCGATTTCGTGTCATTTGAAGAATATTCCAATGCTTTGCAGTCATTCACAACATATGATTTGGGACGTACGTATAGAGTAGTCTAGTGTTCTAATATTTCATGGGATTGTATTTAAAAGATTAAAAGCCAGGAAATGGGAAACTTTAGGTAATATACTTTGAAAAAGATAAATTAATTCAAAGAATGAAAAGTTAGAAATAGTGTTGAAATACAAGATTCAGGGAAAAATAAGAAATTAAACACATGTACGTAACTGTTATCGATTCAGACCATTGATCATCGTAGGTCTCTAACCATAGATTACGACTGTCCCCAACATTATTTGAGCAGTCTTTACCTTTCAACACATTTCGGTCAGAGAGTTGTGTTAGCATGTGCTAGTATCTTCACCGCTCCTAGTCTTTTTCAAACTCAAACCCACTCATAATGTATCCAGTATAACATGTTGAGTTGAGTGGTGGTTGCGTATGTATAACGTGTCACAACCACCTTGTTTGATGAAAGTTCACAACTTCATCTTTCGTAAAAGATACTTAGGGTGAGCTTACCTTTAGTACCGAGAAGAGAGCGTTTTAGTTTATTCAGTTAACAGCCAAACTTCTACAGTGTCATGTAAGCATTTAAATAGTACAGGGAAACGCCATTCATTATTTTATTCCATAGTTTTATTCTAGATATTTTTCCAATCACTGGGACTTTTACAAATAAGATGTAAATAACTGATAAGACCCATTGGGTTATCAAAGGAAATATGAAGAATATTCGGCTAAGAGATTCTTCATTTTGACAATGACTTACTGAAACTGTACGATCTTAGTAATAATATATATATATATATAATGTCTATCAGAAAATACGGTAGAATTGTATCATAAGTTGTTTGAAAATGTCGGATATCTGAATGTGTTTATTTATTAGTCTGAAAGTTAATAAGAAGTGATGGGATGAAGATAGTTTGAGGATAATTGTTCACTTGATAGGTGTACTTACTTACTTGCGTACGTTTGTGACCCCTTCCGGAGGAGCACAGACCGCCCACCAACAATCTCCATCCAACCCTATCCGGGCAATCCTTCCCAGTTCTTTCCACTTGCTATTCATCTTTTTCATGTCTGCTTCCGATTTCCGACGTAGTATGTTCTTCAGCCTTCCTCTTTTCCGTTTCCCTTCAGAATTCCAGGTTAGCGCTCGCCTCGTGATGCGGTTTGTTAATTTCTGTAGTGTATGTCTTATCCACTTCCAACGTCTTTTCCCAATTTCCTTCTCAGCTAGAAGTTGGTTTGTTCTCTCCCACAATAGACTGTTGCTGATGATATCTGGCTAACGGATATGGAGTATCTTGGGTAGACAACTGTTTATAAATACTTGTACCTTTTTGAGGATATAGTAGTTCTCCACGTTTCTGCTCCATACAGTAGAACTGTCTTGACGTTCGTATTGAAGGTTATGACTTTGATATTGGTTGGCAGACAGTTGTTTTGAAATCCATCACTTCTTCATTTATAGGAATGCGGCCCTTGTTTTGCCAATCCTCGCCATGTCTGACTCCGGTCCTTACTTGGCATGTATCTGTCAGTTGTCCCCCATGCACGACTTTGCATTGTAGTCAGTCATATGAATTCCGTATAATGTTGACGATCTTCTGAGGTACTTAATAGTGTGGAAGAAGTTTCCATAATGTTCTCCCATTCACACTGTTAAACACCTCATAGTCAATGAAGTTGATGTATAGTGATGGGTTTCACTCAACTGGTTGTTCAATAATGATCCGTAGTGTCGCGATTTGGTCTATGCACGACCGATACTTATGGAATCCAGTCTGTTGTTCTCGAAGTTGGGCATCTGCTGATTCTTTCATGCGGTCCAGCAACACTCTGTAGAAAACTTTTCCTGGTACCGATAGTAGTGTGATACCTTTCTAGTTCTCACATATGCTCAGATCTCTTTTCTTTGGTACGTTGATGAAGTATTCTTTCCAGTCTGTCAGTAGCGCTTGTTCTTTCTCCCAAACCTTCCTGAATAGAACGTGGAGTATGCTTGCAGTTACTTCAATGTCTGACTTCAAAGCTTCAGCCGGTATATTGTCAGGTTCTGATGCTTTCTCAATGTTGATTTGTCTGATGGTGTTGGCGGGACATAGATCGGATTAAAGCATGTTCCATGCACGATTGCGTTGCTGTACACTGATTGGCTAATTTTTATACGATCAGCGCTGGTCTATACTTGGAGAACACTCTAAAATCTTCTCATGTAAAAACTACGAATATATTAACGTTTTTCTCATCGTGCTTCTTACTTTCATTCACCCTTGTTATTTTTTTTCCTGTTCAACCGTGTTCTGATTCGGGGACTTGTCGAGTGAATTGGTGTCCAAGAATACTAAGCAATAGGAATAGCTGGGTCGTAAAGAGATAATTATGACAGATGGTCATCCTGATTTCTTCGATCGTTGGTGGAGTGACATCCATAAGAAGGTTTGTATGTGCTGCTTCGTTGTCCGGTGGTTTGAACGGAGCTGGTCTTTTCAAGAGCTCCTCGAAGTATTCTACCCATCGGTTCCCCTATTCTTGAATCTAGGTGATTGTCCTGCCTTCTTGGTCCTTGACTGGTCTGTCTGGTTTACTATATTTCTCTTTCAGATTCCTCGTCGTGTCATATAGTTGTTTCATATTCTCTTCTCTTTCAGCTTTATCCGCTGTCGTTGTTATCTCTTCCACGTGTTTCTGCTTATTTGCTCTAATGCTCCTCTTCACTCTCTTGTTTGCTTCTATGTATTCAGCTTGTGCCTTGACTTTCTCTGCTCTTGTTCGACTGTTGTCAATTGCTGTCTTCTTGTTCTTCGTTTCTTGAATCTTGTCTGGGGTTTTGATAGAAATCCATTTCTAACGATTATGCTTCTTGCGACCCAGCACCTCCTGACACGTTGAAGTCAGTACTTTTTTGATCCCTTTCCAGTTATGCTCCATCGTAGCTCTTTTTTTCTTCAGTAGGTCCTGTAAGGTTTGGAATCTGTTGTCGAGAGTTATCTTGAATTCGTTAAGTTTGTTAGTAGTAAATCTTCCATTAACCTTGTGAATTTTTTAGTGATGCAAATATGATCGATCTGTTTCTATGTAGTGTGATCCAGTGAGACCCAAGTAGCTTTGAGTATGCGTTTGTGAGGGAATATTATTCCATCTATAATAATTTTATTGGATGCGCGTAAATTTTCAAATGTGTTACCATTCTCGTTCTTTTTCTCCAGTTAGCCCATATTGTCCCATGATATCTTCATCCCTAGTGATGACCTCACAAAATTACAGTTTGATGTAATGCGAACTGCTATTGTAGAGTAAACGAAACCTAGAATGTCATTTAACGTGTTGAACTCGAAGCTCAGGTATAAAATACAAGATGTTTCTGGGATTTTACGCTTTTCTATGTGAAAACATACTGTTTGGTTCCAAACTTATCGTTTCTCATGACGTAATTTTAGATTGTTTGAAGATATGCCTGTTAGAAGTAGCCAAGTACTTGAATCTGGTCTAGGGCTTGGGACTGGCGGTAACTTTAGGAGAGCTACTAGCGGGGAAGAAAATATTTGAGTGTTGTAGTAACCAACGCGTTATTCAGTATAGAAAATGATAATAGTGATTAAGATCACGTGGTAGACCTATTTCTGTCTAGAAACAGTTACAAGACTTGAGTGTCTCCTATTTAATCCTTTTTGGTGTTGTTGATGCCAGATAGTTTTTTTAACGGGAACTATACAGCTATCTTGTGATCTCCACATTTTACTGTTTCTCCAAATCATATCAGTTCACGGCAAAAATCTTCATAAACAGGTTCATTTTCACTTTCTTGTCTATTGTCTACTCTTTGGTTTTTTAATTTTGGTATCGTCCATCTTGTCATTCTTTAAGTTTTCTTTTTCATAAGATTAATGCACCATTAATTTATATTATTCATTATAAATGTTAGCCAACATTGATCTCTGTTTCGGTTACAGCGAAATATTCGTTTTTCAAGTGGTTATTTGTTAAATATTTATAAGTCTATAGCTCATGGATCACCTCCAGCATAGTTTACATTTTATAATCATGTATTTAGTGAGTGTTTTTTACTTCATAACCATTAATGACTGTTGTTTATACTTGTATACCCTAGGCAAAAGGACATTGTCTTGATTGATTTTTTTTCTTTGCTTCACTAATAAAGATCTTATGATGTAACAATGTTATTATCTATTTTCCCTATGTTTATAATGTAAGTGATATTTCGAATAAAACGCCATTTTTAATTCATTTTGAAGGCTCAAACACAGTCGACAATATCACCAACACAACTATCATCCCCATCAATTACAGCTACAATAATATTAATAGTACCGTACACTACATACGAACATGTAGAAGAATCTCATCTCTCGAAGGTACTAATTATTTAATTTGTGTAAACTACCCCCCTCGTCTCCATTCAGATTTCGCATGCAATCCTTCCGAAATTTAGTAGTGGTAATAATATTAATATTAATGATAATGTTAGCAGAAGTAGAACAAGAAATGACTTGAATTTCAACTATACCCAGTTGATAATATTTAATACCTACTAACATTGTTAGTATTATTATTAAAAATATTGATAAGCATCCCATTATCCCTTCTGTCCAATATAGTCGGTTTTCTTTTCTAATTATTGGAAAGCATTTTGGCATGTAAACTCCAGTTGGTTATGTCTTTGCTTTGGTTTCCGACCCCTTCCCATACCTCTCTCTTTCTCATGAATGTGTTTTCGCTCGAAAAAACGAAACCACCAATAGTATCCAAACATGTATTATCATTCGAGATTTATACATAGCGTGTTATTTTGTATGCTAGCAACAATTTTATTGTGATTCCTTTACTACTTTTATCATTTGTTTATTAATCAATCAATTCTTTTCATTGAATACTGCAATTTGTTTTGTTTATGTATTTTAAACTTCTATTCCTTTTGATTTATAAGTGCTGTGGTATAATGTTTCAACATTGGCTTGTCACTTACTCAGCACATGCTAATTAATACTATATATATATATTATTTGTATACATGACTGTTTTGGTACTCTGTATGTCTACAACTTATGTTTTGTGCGTTTTTTCTAGTGCACCAATTAATACAAAATATATTTTGTTTAATTACATCCAAGTGATAGTCCGTATTTGGGGATTGTTGAACCTCTACAGTAGAAAAGTTGCTTACGCCTTAACCTTCGTACATTATTTAACTAAATAACTGCTAATCCTGTAATTTATCGACGTCATTTAGAAGTCTTAGGTTAAGAAAGTTTATTCCGACTTTCAACACAAAACGATACGACCAGAACACGGTGAACAGAGCAAATCTATATTATTTAGCAGACAATTATAGTGTATGTGAATGAAATTACCAAACAATTAAACATTTATTACCTAAACTGGTAAGATAAACAAACGCCTAAGCTAACATATACTAATTCGACCCGTGGAGATGTACTTAGAAATACTGGCGAATCATCATGACCTAAAGTATCACTTTGTCTACCTAGATGGTTAATTTAAAGATTCAAGTGATCTAGACGTATAAAAACCTATGTGAGCTTGATTTACTATTATACGTCACAGTTTACATCATGGACTGATCTTTATTAAATAAATACTAAAAAAAAACACTTTTTGTTCTCATCCAGTCAGTGACGTAAATCATGAAAATATCTTTATCGACGTTTCATGCGCATATGTACAAATCAATAAATAAGTGTTTCCATATTGTTCTTTTCTATTATTTACGTTAGTTATTTTAGCGCCTGAGTCCTTTGAACTTTGTTGATTAGTTATGTAAATATTTCATTATTAAACTTGGCGGGTAAATTTGTCTAAGACAGTAAAGCTCATTCAATCAATTCAAGAGAATTTATTTTCTACTGTCTTACTATGTACACCCGTTATTATCAGAATAACACTCTACATAAATATTTCAATCGTAAAACGTATGTGAGTGTTACATAAAGTAAACTAATGAATATTCTATTTTATATGAACACGCTAAAAGCATTTAATTTAGATTGATTTTGCTTCTCGTTATAAACCTACTCATACATCATTACTATTAAAAGCTCTTGTAGTATTTATTCAGATGAAAAAGCAATGTTATATATTATTCAAGTCTTAAGTACTGTTTTAAATTTTACTAAAGACAGTTAGTTGACACATCTCTATAAACATTATTGAAAACATAATGTCGAATCATTTCGAGACATATAGCTATTCATTTGAAAATATTTCTTGACTTGCATTCGTATCCTATGGTAAGCATCAATTCTCCGACGATTGTAACTATATCTTAGTTTGTTGAAAAATCTTAGCTAATACAGACTTTAGATCCAGAGTCTCATACTAAATGCTTAAGGTAAATTGTACCACAATATCAGTTCATTTCATCTGGTGATCACATTGTAATTTAACTGATAGGATTCGGTCAATCATTATAGCTATATTGTCGTTTACTAATTTGTTACCAATCTCTGTATGTTGTCTCATTTTGGATTTCTAAAAGAAATGCCTATTCATGGTACGAGTGTAAGGTAATTGCAAATTGGAACAACTAAACGAAAACAATTAATTTAATGATATATTGAATACTGATGACAGTATTTATCCTTGTGACAAAGCATCTCTTAATAGTGAGTTTCTAAAAATCCTCAGTTCTGAACTCATAATTTCTTTCTTTACTGGAACTTCTGTTAATTCTAAGAAATAGAATTTGTTTGATAATCTTTATTATTGTGAGATCTTCAACGTCTTTGGTTAGATCCCCAGTAGGGTCAAGGATGTGTACCGCTAGGGAGTCCTACACTAAAACGAAACACCTGTCTAATGCTTCGTGGTTTTTAAATAGTTGTTTGACTAAAATCAGTTCTTAATGCAAGTTATACGGTAGTTGTGTCGGTCAGTCGTTCAGAATTAACGATTAAATGGTTGAATGCACAAGCGTCAAGGTTTACCGTAATTTTTCGCATATAAATCAATATACAAATAAATTATAAGTGGGTATATAAGAGTTTTTCTGTATTTATTTATTGCTTATTTCATCATTGTATGGGAGTTTATAGATTCTCATTTCAAAATAGGTTAACTTTTAGAAATGCATATTTAAAAAAACGTTTTAATACTACATTAGTGTTTATCTTAATTATGGTGTTGTATATATTGAGTGTGCATCTTATAAGAAGGAGCGTCCCATTTTTATCAAGCATTTTATCTTTATCTCTTAAAGACTATGAAACTTATGTTCTATGTCTGATCTGATTCTATTCTGTTATTTAGAACTAGTGTTTCCATTTTATTATCAAAACATTGTAAAGTATTAACTAATCGATGCAAACAAATCAACAAACCATAATATAATTATTTTTATTAATACCATTATTATTAATGTGAATTAGTCAGACTCTACATAGATGTTGATTCAAAAAGCTCGAACGTCTGCCAACTCTTAGTTTTTCTTAAATCAAATATTTATATTCTTTAAAATTATACTCTCTCTTGAATTAATTACTGTATGGTAAAAGTAATTTTGGAAAGTTTTCATACTAAAATTTATCATTACAAATCCGTATTTTATAGCAATACACGTTGTCACTTGTCAACTGCTTATACAAGGCTACATGTAGTGCTAACTCTGTGAGCTTAAAGTAATTTCATGTTCCAGATATTATTTATATTTTTTCGTTGATATCAGCTACGAAACTGTTGGTTGTATTGTATCCAACAATTAAGCTTACTACTAGACTTTTAAAAGCATGTTACCCTACAAAATGCCCGGTCTGCTTTCTAACATTGAAATTTATATATTTCTGTTTACGTCTTTTTATAGGTATATGTTACTCATATAACAAATACTTCCATTCAACTATTCTCTCCAAGTCTATCTACATAACAATTATTGTTTGCGCATCCTAGAATTTATGTGTATATGAGCGTTTGCGTTAACTGAATCCTACAAATAAGTCATTTGTATTTACTTGTTTTTATTTCGCCTCACGGAGACTGAAATCTAATTGTTTTTTAAAACACTTCTGGCGAATTCCTATCTTTTAGATCATCCAATTCATCCTCCTGGGAAAACTGGTGATCCTTTCGAGATAGACTATTGGCCTGAACCATTAGATGTTAAAATGGAATTTCGCAAGGGTATAATGCACATCGAAACATTGTCTGATTCACCAGACAGAAACCAGGTTAATTTAATAAATGGGACATCAGAACATAATCATTATAATGAAAATGTTGATGTTGATCAACCTATGAAAAAAGATCTACCAGAATTTACTATACCATCTCTACAGACATTCTTCTCAGATTTTGATACAATACGTACATTTGTAGGAGATGGTCCATTGAAGTCATTCTGTTATCGTCGACTGACTTACTTGGCTTCAAAATTCCAATTGCATTCATTGCTGAATGAAGCTCGGGAATCAATTGAGCAAAAACGTGTATCACATCGTGATTTCTATAATATTCGAAAGGTAAATTACTTTAAATTATCAATAAACATTTTTTCTTTTGTGAAATTCACCTAAACACTTTCGGAGATTACTCAGTTCTCTCTTAAACTGTTTACTAAAGTTGCTATATTATTAACTAACAGGAGAATAACTTTTGTTGAGATCATAAACTGATCCATGCTAAACCACTATTAAAAACCCGGTTCACTGGATGGCCGTTTCGTCCTAGGATGGGAGTCTTCAGGAGTGCGCATCTTCGGGCCTCGAACCCGGAACATCCTGCCTCGCGTGAACTCTTAATCTCCAGACTTCTGAGCCGCATCCAACGGTGTTAATATCTAACTTCAACCAATCCTCAAGAATCCAGGTGAATAGTTGGATTATTTTTATTGCCTAAAATGTCTCAAATTAACCGATGTATACCACAGTGTGTTATGACGTCAATAAAAATAAACGATAACATCTTTTCAAACCAAATATACATAGAATAAATTGCTGAAGATAAATAATTATAAAATATTAGTTCATGCAATTTACTCAGTATTGGAAAAGTATTTCACAGATTTAGTTTTAATTTTCTTGGTTTGTTTATGATACACAAAGGAACAGGTTGAATATTAGCTTACAATTTTACAGAATTTTAGTTCAGCTTTTAACAATTAGCGTCAGAGGAAAATGGTGATCGTCTGCTGCATAAAGAGAGGTACCGTCTAACATGGCGACCCCCTACACCGAACCAACGATGGATTCAAATAGACCATATTGCCATCAGTCATCGTTGGAGAGGAAAGGTAGAAGATTGTCGCTCGTTCTGGAGTACCTGCTTGTACTTCGGCCATGCCCTAATACGGACACGCATCTGCTTGCGCCTTACTGGACGCAAAAAAGCCACACTAAAATGACCTATTAGAACTGAATTGAGTAGCGAGAAAACTAAAAGTAGGTTCCAGGAACAACTGAGGTCACAATTAGGTAGTTCTGAAAACAAGGCTGACCCAGATGTTGCTTGGAAAGCTATACAAGCAGCTGTGGAAACAGCAGTGACATCTATCAATGATTTAAACCACAAGGTTACAAAGAACCAATGGATTTCTTCAAGGCCTATTGGACTGATGGATTCTCGCAAACTCATCCCATCAGGCTCTGAACACAGCAAATCAGATCTAGGTTAGGAAAAGTCTAAGGAACGACTGTGAGCAGTGGTGGTCAACGAAAGCAAAAGAGATGGAAAAGACGGCGGCTATAGGTAACACAAGACAGCTCTACAGACTAATAAAAGAAACTGGAATTAATAAGTCAAGTGTAAGTCAGACTATTTCGTAAAAAGACGACACCCTCATCTGCTCCCAATCCAGACGTTTAGAACGATGGGCGGAACATTTTAGAGAACAGTTCAGCTGGCCTTCAGCTACTCTACAACTACCCTCCATTCTCAGACAGTGGGAATGGAACATTGAAGTAGGTCCCCTAACTCGAGCAGAACTTCAAAAGTCTATAGTTGGTCTGAAACGAGGAAGCGCAGCTGGTCCAGATGGATTGGCTCCAGAAGTCTTTAAGGATGGTGGTCCAATTTTAGCGACTAGGTTGACTAATATTTTAGATAAGATCTGGGAGTTAGACGTTATCGCACCTGACTGGTCACAATCACATCGTCCCAATATATAAGAGAGGGTTAGAATCATCCTGTGACAACCACAGAGGGATTAGTTTAAGTAATATAGTATCTAAAATACTAGCCTGGATAATTATCAGACTCCTAACTAAGACTCGTGAACTGCAAATACGAGAGAATCAAGCTAGCTTCAGACCTGGTCGTGCCTGTGTCGACCACATATTCACCATTCGTCAGGTTTTAGAACATAGGCATACTTATCGGCGTCCGACAATGGTGGTGTTTCTTGACTTAAAAGCAGCATTTGACTCTGTGGACCGCGAGATTCTGTGGCAGTGTCTGTCATTGAAAGGCGTACCTCAGACGTACATAAACCCTGTGAAGGCTCTTTACTCGAACACTACTAGTCGAGTCAGAGCTTATGGCGAACTGTCATCTGCTTTTGCAACCTAAAGTGGTGTCCGTCAAGGCTGTCCACTTTCTCCATTTTTGTTTAACTTCATCATAGATCTATTGATGGAAATAACATTCTCGTCGACTGAATTCTCGGGTATTGATCTCCTTCCAGGAGGTCCACTTATCGACTTAGAATACGCAGATGACATAGTCCTGTTTGGTGAAGACACTGATAAAATGCAGAGTCTTTTGTTAGCACTGCGCAACAATGCCAGAATGTTTGGAATGCGCTTCTGTCTTTCTAAATGCAAGTTGTTGCTTCAGGACTGGTCTGCGTTAACACCTGAACTAAGGATAGGGAGTGAAGTAGTCGAACGCGTTGACAACTTCACTTATCTTGGAAGTCTGATCAGCTCTAATGGGTTGGTGTCTGACGAAATCTGATCACGGATTCGAAAAGCTCGTTTGACTTTTGCCAACTTACGTCGCCTATAGAGAAGGCGAGATATCCGTCTATCAATAAAAGGACGAAAATACTGCGCGGCAGTCCGTTCTGTTTTAATTTACGGCAGCGAAACATGGCCATTAAGAGCAGAAGACGACACTCGTAAGCTACTAGTATTTGACCACAGATGCCTCAGAAATATTGCTGGCGTCTGCTGGGATCACCGGGTAAGTAATAGTGAGGTTCGACGCATGGTATTAGGGAATGATGGTAAGTCAGTCGATGAGGTTGTGAATCTTCATCGACTGAGATGGTTGGGCCACGTGTTACGTATGCCTGAACACCGATTACCACGTCGTGCAATGCTAACCGGTGTTCGGGGTGGCTGGAAAAAAGTTAGAGGCGGCCAAACCAAAACGTGGCATCAGTGCTTGAAGTCACTAACTTCTAGTCTGAGTCATGTTGGTAGATGCAGACTACTTGGTTGGGGTCCGCGTGACTTTCGTTACCAATGGTTGGAGACTCTTGGTGGCATGGCTCAGAATCGATCACAATGGCGTAGGTGTAAACACTCTCTGTCTTTCCTTAAACTAAGAGATTAAAATCACTTCATATCTTTCTTTCTATGAACTAATTCCTTCTTCCTGTACTATATCCTTACATACAATCTTTCTTTTATATATTATCACCTCTGAATTAACTACTTTTAAGAATCCGGCTTTCATTTTGTTGTGTTAATGAGGTATGACAACTTGGACCGATGCATGTATGTGCCTGGTCCTACGTTGTAGCTGACTGACTGACTGAAAGGAAAATGAACACAAGCAATGTAGAATAAAAATTGGGTAGAATGATATTGTGAGTCAGAGTAAAAAAAGTAATAAAGATTTTAATATTTAGACGAAGATAACTGGTAACTACACCGGATTCTTCTCTGCGGTTAATGCTGTATGATTTGTTAGCTTACATGATGGCTAGACAATTTTTCCAAGTTGCTCTATTTATTGTTTACAACGTAAATTGACCTCGGTTAGGTAATCATTAGGATCTATGAAGCACTAAACAGCTGTTTTTTCTTAATATAAAATTCTTCATCAGTGCTCATCCATTTTACATTTTGCAATTTAAAAAAGCTTGAAGACTAAAAGAGCTCCAGTGGACTATTGCTTGGTGGAATACTTGAAAAGAAAAACAAACATTATTTTATTTTCCTTACATGAAGTCTTGAAAACAGGATAACTGTAGTTCATAATAAAAAAGGTTACCTTGCTTTTCTTATTCTCTACAGACTCCTTACAAAATAAGTGATATATATTTTTGTAGATAATTTTCATTATGAATTGAAATCAAATGCAAAACCATTGAAAGTAATGCACAACAGTAGGGAAATATTTTGTCTACTACACCACACAAGATCCAATACAACAAATATCATTCAATCATTCATTTAAATTCCAATGTCCTACATTTTCAAATTTTTGTTACTTTGGGATATAAATAGGTGGTAGGTTACCATCGATTTTTATCAATACGTTAATGCTTTTTTCGATCAGCTCTACAGATTCCAAATTCGTACTATCACATAGAATCCATAGTAGTAGAAGAATTTTCTCTGTCTTACTTTCTTATTGTCATTTTTCTGGAAAGATATACAGTGGTTATATATATATATATCACCACTTCTAGTATATCTTCCTCATATTATTTCTTTCCCTTTATGAAGTGAACGACGAATCTATTTACAATCGCTATTCTGATTAAGCTAATTGTTCAACTATATCACTAGTTATTTTGTTCACTGTCTTATGTTACTAAGCCATATCTTCTCACATAAGCATACACATATTAATTATGGTAAAGTACATATGTGTTCATATATAGAGTGGGCAATCAAAAGAGTAGGTAGATTTTTCATTTCCTTATTGATTAATAAGTTAAAATTTAGAATATCTATCTTTATCTAGGTCAACTGAGATTGTCTTTAAATGGTTGTTTTTCTTCAATTTTAACCAATAATTTACGTTATTGTTTTTTATTAGGTTTGTTAAATTAAAATAGGAAGTTCCTACTAACTTAACGGTGTTTACCGTAAAGGATTATCGTTCGTTGTGATTAAAAACATTTATATTATCATAGCCTTATTTCAGTATGTTGGAAGAAAGTTGGAGGTGGACAAATAGGTACATGTCATCAGTCTATGAAGTCATTGAGAATTGAAATGAGCCGTTTTTATACATGTAGACTACTTGATTGGGGTCCGCATGATTATCATCAATGTTTGGAGACGTTGAATGACATGGCTTAAAATCGTTTGCTATGGCGCAGGTGGATTCATTCTTTGCCTACCCTCGAATTCTGAGCTTCTGGATTTCACTAATTTATGTTTTCTTGAATCATATTTTTGATGCTTAATCTTTCCTATTATCACTGATACTGTTACTACCTCTACTATTCTGGAATTTGGCCTGTTTCGTTTTTTGCACCAATGAGATATGGCTACTTGAACCGATGTACATACGTACTAGGTTCTAAGTTACGGATAACTGTCTCCCTTGTTGGTTAAAACACATTCAACTTTCAACCATTGAGTTATAGTCTCAAACCATCGTAATTCAAATTAAGTGGCCAGGTTGTATTTGGTGGTAGCATACTAACAGTACAGTGGTAACATTAGTGTCTACGTTACTTGACGACTCGTTCAGATCTGTAGTAGATTATAATTTAATATTTTTACATTGAAATTTTATAAAGGACCAGTGTTTAGGGAATTGTGTGCATAGTTCTCCTTTGCATATCGTTTAAGACTGCATTTTCTGTTTTGATTTTGAAGTTCAACTGAAGATAAGAAAATTAATAGGATTAGTTATTAAATTGGTAAATTTCGTTGCTCTTTATGTATTCTATAGCGATGCTTTGAAGTATCTTCGTATTTTAGTTAGAATATTGTAATATTAATCTACTAGTCAGTATTGTCATAGAATGCAATCATTTCAGGGAAATTTTTTAATTTTCTAAACTTTGGATTTAAACTGACAACGAAAACGATCACATCTCAACTCCCTCTCTTTTTGATGGAGTTTTGTTCTCTGAGCTCGATGGTTTGGTCGTGGAGCTTTCATCGTTCTTCTGAACGACATCACCATAAACTTCAGATAGAAGTGAAGTGTTCGAATTTCTCCATATGCCTTTCACAGCTTGTTCTGTACACCTCGATGTTGATTGGTTCTTATTGAACTTAAATTTGTCATTGTTTACTTCCTTGTTTTGGTTTTGTCTCCCATTGGCTTGATTTTTGTTCCTATATTTGTGCATAACTTTCCTGACTGGTTGATAAATTGGATTGATTTCAATATGCTTGTCGATTGCTGATTGATCTGAGTGCCAGGCTTCTAAAAATTCTCTGGTGTTTTTGGAACTTCCTCTGTCCAAGATTTCCACATTTTTCCAATCAAATGAGTGTCCACAGTTGTCCACGTGTATGGATATAAGTGAGGAAATATCATGGCGTTTGACTGCTAATTGATGTTCATGCAGGCGCCACCATCTCAACTTTCTCTCTTCACCTGCATACACTTTGTATAAGAGCTAGTGATATTAACCAGTCACTCAAATAGATGTAAAGTTTGAATCACCAATCAATTATCATTACACTTTATTAAGTTGATAATTGCTTATGTCTATTACTTATTCGTGATCTAAGTTATTAAAACCAACATATTATTTCAGTTTTATTTATATTATAAACTATTCAATTCACATTGATATATTGAACTATAAGCCTAATCGTTTATAGTAACAATAAAAAAGGAGATTATTTTCATAGGTGTTTTAATTTTGTAATCAGTTGAGTTGTTTCTCATAATTTTTATAATAAGTATTTTATACTTATTATGATCTCAAATTTCATTTATTGATTTTATTTCAGGTTGATACTCATATACATGCATCATCATGTATGAATCAAAAACATTTACTACGTTTTATCAAGAAAACAATTCGTACTAAATCAGATGTTTATGTATGTGAAGATCCCAAAACTAAAAAGCCTATGACATTAAGTGAAGTAAGTCATAGGATTATTACCTATTCTGTCTGTTCTATGTCTTTATAAGTAAATTCTTATAAGTTAGTGTAATTGTAATCGATAAATTAATATTCTGTTCAATAATTTGTATAGATTTGTTCAATATGGAAATAAATTTTGTAACAGATTAACCGTAAAATTAAGAAACATTGGGTTTTTTTGTGCGTGTGTCAGAGATCTGTTTTGTAGACTCCTGAACTACAACAAATCTGCAAGCATTGGTCGCGTATTTTGTTGAGATTAAATACAGTGTATTAGGTGATAAGTTAATAATAATGTGGATCTTTATCTACTCATGTATTAAGTATTCATAACCGTCATCTAACTCAATGTACAACGTTGTCCGGTGTAGGAATAAGTTGGAACAAAACTAGTGATCAGAATACCAAAATGTAGTACCAGTCCATGAAGTTAGTGACTGTTGAGTTAAGCCATATTAGTAGGTTCAGACTATCTGAATGGAATTCACTTGATTATCGGGATCGGTGTTTGGAGGTATTGGCTGACAATTCACAGTCGGTCGTGATAGAGCATATATATTCACTGTTTACCTTATCTTAGGTTATAAGTTTCAAAAATAGTTTAATACCTTTCGTAAATAAATTCATTCTTTTCGAATAATATTCAGTACACCCAATATTTTTGCTGTCAGTGATATTATTCTTAATAATAAGACATACTACGGCTTTGGTATTCAGTTCGTAATCAGTATTACATTAGACTGCATATACAAGTTTACTTTCTGTCAACGGTACATTTCAGTGAGCAATTTGTTAGAGTTCATCCACATGTTTATTTTAAAATGTAATCTTTAAAAAATTAATTGAAGTGATTTTTACATTTAATTTGCTTATTAAACATAAGTAGATTTACGGATACAATAACGCTTTTGTTGACAACTACAAACTTTCTGAATATTTTTAAGATGTCGTCAAATCTGGGAAATTTCTATATTTCTGAAATAATTATCGACAGTGTAAATGATTTATCCCGCTATTTTTATGCATTTCGTTAAGAACAACTGATGTAAACCTTGAAAATATTATATTTTTATCTACACCAGTAAACGGTTGTCTTTCTGTGTGAATACTGGAGATATCTGATTGTTGAAACACTAGTAAGTGAAAAAGATTGTAATAGGTTGTAAATAGAATATATACATATGTAACTAAAGTGGTCTACCGACTTACCAATTGGACAGTCAACATTGCTACCATTTATCTTCAACAAATTCTTAACCTAATGGTTTACTAACATTGATTTCTCCTGTTTGCTACATGTAATCTAAATGTAGGTTGGTTAAAACATTCTATATTGTTACTAATTTAGTAAATGATAGCTATTCATTATTATAGATTAAGTATTGTCTTTTAAAAATTCTACAATTTAAAGACTGGAGAGACTGTATCTACCCAGTCATAAAATAAATTGTGTTGCACTTTAATGTCGAGGTGTTCGTGTGAATTCCTACTGATTCTTCTAAATGATTTGTTATTACGTATGTTTTTTTTTTAAATGCAGTGAATGTACTTTAAGTTACATTGATTTCCCATATGAATGAAATTTCGAATAATTATTTGAATGTTCCATTGTTTACGAGGTCAAACTTATTATCAAACATTCAGTCATTTGGGTGTTTCTCAATTTTTATTTATTAAAAAAAGTCGAATCAGATACATTATATGCTAGAAAGTCAAAATTATTGTGTACTTTCAAATAACTGGGCGTTTCTCATATTTTGTTTTATATATGAGGAATATATAAGTAGGAAGTTGCTTGAATAAATTCTCATAAGTTAGAAAGTACTTACATTTTATTTAATATTGTTGTTCAATATCTGCAGAATTATGCACTGGATTAGTGGGATAATAACAAACAGAAACCTTTTAGATAGTGAGTAATTATTCTCTCCTTCTTCTCCATCTTACAATATCTTATGTCACACCTAACCTGTGACTGTAAAAGTCATTTATTTGATCGGAAAAATATGGTATGCAACAGTATATACATTTCTAACCAATATATAACAGTATCAAAATAATTGAAACTGATATGAGTCTAGTTATTATAATATAAACTACTCGGTATAAAATGTTCAAATTATGTAAAAATATGGATTAAAATAGGAATTACTGGAATTTTTATTTTATCAACAGATGATTATTTAATTTTTATGATTAATTTTTAACTGGAGATTATCGACTGATGAACACTGAACTGACATCTAGTAAACTGATAATTGTACATTTCATACAATTCATCAAGCTATTTGCTCTAAAAATAGTGATTTAATAAAACAGGAATGTTGTGGATTGTACGCTTTAACAAAATGTTTTCTATTCACTGGTATAGCTGGCGCGTTCATTTATGTAGTTGGTAATACCAAAAGTTTTGTTTCTAATTACATCTCACATCATTTTGTCTTTTAAACTCATTGTATATGTCAAGGTAAATGATATTTATGCACTATTAGGTGTAAAGTTTGAGACATGTTCCATCCTTGTGGGTTTTAGCGGCCGAATCGTATCATTAGCATTTCATACGGGATTGATGCTCATAGCATAAAGTACATAAGTGTTTACTTCAGTGATGAGTAAACTTCCTTAATCAGGGGTCACATCAATGCAGATACGACGTACGTCCTCAACGGGTTCGTACACACAAAATAACATTAAGATGATATTTTGTTTGTATTTTTTGTTGTATTTTTAAAAAAAATACTGAATTATTATCTCAGCTTTTTATACATCTTAATTTCCTGTTAACGCTAGCGAGGAAATTACTTGTCTGACCGATTTTCTTGAAACATTCTACATTCACCTTCGATTATAACAATTTCTTTATTTTCGTTGATTTCTGAAAAATATTTCTGAATAAAATCAAAATTTTCTGTAAAGAGATAAAGTAGTTCTGAAGTCATTTAATGCAACCAAATGTGATTTAAATAAGTACGCTAGCGGTTCGTTTATCTAGTTTCATTTTTTAAGTAATTGAGAACAATATTAGCCAACTATAAGTATCGTTTACTTATTCTGTTTTGAAATGATATAACACTTGACAAATAATAATTAGGACATTGTATAGACTTATTTTAATTCAATTACAGAATAGCTGTCATAGTAGGGTTATCTAACATACAACACGATAAACCACACTGTATAGCTAAGGTTAGGTCTATGTTAACAAGACTATTCTTTTTCTACACTTTACATACATGTAGTTAGTTCACTGCTCTGACCACGGATATTTAGAGCACAATGTTAATGTAAAATATCATGTCTCCTGAGAATATTTTCAAATCATTTTACTCCTGATCACTTTGATTACATTTCTCGCTAGGGATGGTTTGCTTACCCGTAACTATACTTAATTATTGAGTTGAATTGTTCTTTTTATTATAATTTATTTTGTATATCTAAAACACATTGAGTGCAAGAAATATCACACTAGATGTGTCGACAAAATTATTGATCGCTCGTTTTTTTTCTTTATTGAATTGTAATTGTTTTATTTGTTGTTTCATGCTTTTATTCTACAGTTGGTTGATAAAATTGGAATTACACTATATGATTTAAATATTGACAATTTGGATGTTCACGCTGTAAGTCCAAGGTTCAACATATTTAAAAGTTATTGTCTTGCATATTTTGCAGTATACTGGAAGGAGATTGTACTTTTTCATTAAAAAATATTTAAAATTTATAGTTGGATTTTAGGTGGAAATGTTTGGTTTATAAACTGCCTCATTGGAGTGTCTTCAATGAGTATATGGTTGTTTGAGTGACGTAAACATTTAACTGTTACTATTAAATTAATGGGTGTTATCACATCTATGCTTTAAAATGGTTTATCAACATATGTCTATGCAAATGTTACTTCTGAATATAGTTAGTTAGTGAGTCAGTCAGCCATCATCAACATATAAATTGACAATTAAGCCATAGTTCACTAAAATGCAATGCACTGAAAATATATCAAGAACAGTTTATTAAGTTATTTATTTTTATAAATTTTAATCATAGTGATGAGTAATTGATTCTGAATGACTTCAGCTGAGTTGGACTTGCCACTGATTAGCCAGTAACCAACTATATGAACACAATTTGCAAATATCTTAAGACTGAAAGATTACAAATTACACAGATTATTAGTTAACTGTGGCGCATTCTTTCTCTCATTCCTATCAGATTAATAGAGTTCGAAAATGAATAAATCAAGAGAAAAAAATTTTAAAAAATGACTTTTCAACCAAGATTTAAAGTAAAAGATCCGATATAACTGCTTTGTTGTGATTCATATTGTTCCATTTCATTCTGACTCTCTAACTATAAATGACAATTATTACGTGGACTTAAACCTAAAAGTTCTCGTCTACCTTCATAGATCAAATCGACAGTTGATGAATTAACAGATTAATACCGTGTCTAGATCCTCCTCCTTTAATTATTATTCAGCTTGCTACTATGTCAGCGAATGTTGTTCATCAGGATAGATGATGTCTGGAGGTCCGTAGCACATACTCTAACCATCTCAGTTGATGTACGTTTATGGTTTTATCAATCGATTTTTTCTTCTACCATATTGACGTACACCTAACCGCATCGATGTAACGTGTGAACAAATATTTTTAGCCTATGTATATCTTCTGCTTTTATAAGTCATATTTCACGGCCTTAAAGAGTTTCAACGATTTAAATTTTAGTGTAGTATAAAAAACGTACGTGAATAAGTCGTGTTACTTGATCTATAATTTATAAGACGACAGGTTTTTATGAAGGCCGTATAAATCCATAACTTATTATCCTATCTCATTCGCAGTCTTCATTCTTTATCACTATTCCAGTTTATCCTTTATTTTTAAAATCGTATGAAATCGAATTTTTAGTTAATTTATCGTATAAATACGCCCACTTATATTATAAAACCATTATTACTATGATATTTACTAAGCTGGATATAATAGCACCGTATGTGTAGGTTTTCTAGGATTTCAAGTTGCTCACCTTGTTATTTATAGTTTACGAATTCATAGTGTTGTTAAATAACTAAAATAAAGGTTCGTCGATTGTATAGATAATATTGCTGTGTATAATTTACATTAAAACGACGGCATATGTGTGCTAGTTGTGTATGCGTCATTTAAAAGTATCATTCTACTATGAAGTATATGGTTACACTTTTTTAAATCACAATTTTTTGGCTTTCATAACAAAATTAGGAATTTGTCTCATTGTGAGAAGGAATTTGAATTATTCAATTGCTAATATTTTAAACTGAATTTTGATCGGTCTTTGTTGGGATACGTGTGTATTCTGCGTAGATTACCTCGATGTAGCCACTTAATATTTAATCAAAAGTTTTTTCTATTGAATAGATAGATTATTGTTACCTGGAAAGTATGTTTTTCTTTATTTAGCACTCGTTAACTGCATTTCACCGGGACTCGAACTTAGTATATTTCACTTATACGTTATCCACTGAATTCAAATAGTCATGGACTTGTTCAAGAGGATGATATTTTTTATTTGCATGAGTAAGGCTTTGAACTGTCCTGTAGTTGATATTTTTGATTGAATTTTGATTAGTTTTTGTTGGCTAACGTGCATCTTGTGCGGAGTGCCGTTACATAGCCACCACTAGCTACAATCCACCTGTTCTTTAAAAACATTGACTAAACTAAACATATCCATTCACTGTTCATCAATTTTCTCCGCCATATTAATTCATCCAAATGTCGATTACACTCATGTTTGATTATTTGCTTACTACTTTTTTTATTGATTTGCAATGACACCAATAATTAAAAGATTTGTTTTCAACTACGTGAATTATACTACTCTCGTAACAAGAGTAGTACTAATACATACATGTTAACCTGACAGCTATGTAGCTTATGTGAAATAAATAAATACTTAAGCAAAACGTGTTAACAATTGAACTTAATTAATTGAGTTGCCTTAAATCCTTTGTACTAAGTTAGTGATGATTGTTGGTGCAATAAAATTAAGAAGAGAATGAACGTCTACTTTCCTAAGTGATATGTGGATGTGTTATTGTTTTGTAGATAACTCACTATTTGTAGAGTATAGGAACTGGTGAATAGACCCAAGGTTCATTATATGTAAATATATAATAAAACATTCATTTGATAGAAAAATTATATATTACTTGACTGAATTTTTTACTTTTTGTCTCATATATACCAATTCCCAAACGAAATGTATCAGTTGATGGAACCCTGAACCATTAGTCATATGTCAGCCTATTTCTTCTAATGTTAAATCTCATCCCGTTAGCCTAACTGGTAACTATCTTTTTGGATAGTTTTCAATAGAAACTCATCGGTCTGTGATGCTAAAACCTAACTATTAGATTCACTTATTGTTCCGCTTGATATCAACTTGAATATTTTCAGTTCTAATTGAAGAATTGAATTTGTCAACTGACATTGTCTTTCAAATCAAATGAACTCAAATGTTCAAAACTTGTTCCAAGTTATCTATTACATCTATAACGTAATGATAAAGTGCTGAGTCATTTAAACTCAGTGAGCCCTAAGGAGGTTCAACCGTGTAGAAGTTTAAACAAATATCACCAATGGCAGTGAGCAGTATTGGTGTAATATAGCTTATTTACAAAAGATAGGTATGTAAACCATTAGATACCGAATCAGTATTATATTATAAATTCATTTAATATTCAAGCAACTATTTAGTTGTGAAAAGGATCAAACTCCCTTCAGTTCATCAATTTCAAGTTATTTAGTACACACCAATTTATGTTACGATTTTTCTAGTTTCTAGGTGAACTGTTCAAGAAAGAGCTCTATTGGAGTCACTTACATATAACTAAAATGTAGTGTGAAACTACAAACAAAATATACTTTTGAGTCAAAAAATAGATTAGATGTAAATTTTTATAAAAAAGAAAGGATGAAATTCGAAACCATCTGAAAGTTGGAAGCATTAGATAACTGCTTCAAGTGATAAAAATCTTTAAGATCTTGAAAGTCATCTCTTGTAAAATCAATAAAATTTAAAGCTTTAGTAAGTAATTAGTGAAAGCGCTGTAATATATTAACATCGTACTTAGAATTGCTTTAGATTCGAATAACATTTTTCCACTTCAGTTTTTCCTTACGGACTCCACATTATAATTAAACTGAAGCATTAGTGTAGTTACTTGTTATGACCACTTGCTCCCTTTTACAACGGAATAAGGTTAGTATATCTCGATGCAAAATAGCAGACAAGATCGCAGATGAGGGTTTATTGTATAGCACAAACAAACTCCACAACAGTTACAATCACTTACCCAATATAACTATTAAAAGAATGCATGGTTTACGTATCTGGTCAATAATCAACTTCAAACACTTCGAACTAAGCAGTACTTGACAAAAATCAATCCGTTAATTCATTTTAAGACATCAATGGATTCAACTGCTTTAAATAAGAAACATAACAAAGTTGCTAGATCATAAATTTGCTACTTCTCAACACTACTTAAATATATATATGGTTTACAGTAATAAAATGATACTAATCGAGTAATAACAATCTCGGAAGTGATTATTAAAATAACTTCGAATAGTTAACTGGGTAATTAGAGGGAGGACATGTTAATAAGCAAAGTAATTATTTGTAAAATTAAAAACGTAATTAGGCAGTTGTCAGATTGCATAATATGTAATAAAGGAGTTAACAAAATACTCTGTCAAGAGGTTAATTTTAAAGTAGTTACCTAAAAATCAGGAGACTGATACTAACATAGTGTAAGAACACCAAAATGAAGGAAATTTAGAAAGTTTTGAAAGACGTTTGTATTCAAGCTCAGCTATAAACTACTTCATTATCTCTGACCAAGGTGGAAAGAAAGGTTTTATTCTGACAATTGATCACAGTGAAGACTGCCAATTCGTTTTGAACATTGGTGAAGCTAGGAACTATTGCTTTTTCATTATTCTAGAGTTAATAAAGCTTTAATTTTTCTTCAGATAAATCATTTTTCTGAGAACCAGTGATCTGAAAACACGATATCCCCTACATTAACCGAAGATTGCAACCACCGATCACTATAATTATCGTAAATCACTTTCATCTGGGTAAAAAATTCCAGTTTCATTCTTTTTTGACCTTAATGGTTGCACGTCTCCATGTTTTCAATACCATGAAAGCATTTTAAAAATTTTCAAATCTAAAAACTAATAGTAATCGCTTCATATTTTACCTATATAAATATGCCTATATACAAAATAATAGCATACCATGTGGTGAATAAGTGTTTCTCTCTTTTTGATTTTTTATTAAATGTCTAGCTCGTCATTCTTTGTTACACTGTTTCCTAATTTTTTTTTACTTCTGAAAAATGACGATTGGTTCGGTTTTTATTATTAAGTCACATGCTTTGATCTACACTAAATCGTAGACATTACTGTCGAACTAAACGTATTATTGGTATTTAAACAAGACATACTACTGTTCATTAGTTTGACAGTTTTTCTTAGTAAATCATGTGTTTATTGTCTGACTCCTCTGACAGACATACTTAGCAAATCAAATATGATCGTGATGTGAATGTGACTAGAAACAACTTAATTTTGTGGACGAGACTATTAGGTGTACCTGTTTATTGTTGTTCATCTCTCACTGAAGTTTGTTCAGTCGCATAGTGATGTTAATTTTCATTACGAAGAGGTTTGTTGCTCTCACCTTAGCTAGTGTACTGGAACTGAAGAAAATGATTCGTACAATATTAATATAAATAATTATTATTCCTTTTTTTGCATGTCACTGTTATCATCCACATAGTAGTTTAAGTGATTATTTTTCCAGGTTTTTTTGCTCTAATGCATAACTATTTTTGTTAACCATAAGGATCGTAACACTTTTCATCGATTCGATAAATTCAACGCTAAATACAATCCCATTGGTCAAAGTCAACTACGTGAAGTGTTTTTGAAGACGGACAACTACATTAAAGGCGTTTTCTTTGCACATGTTCTGAAGGTAAATTTGTTTTTATTAATATCCTATCGTCTGTTTAGTTTTTACTCATTCACGTTAAATTTATTCAAATAAATAATTAGTAACACTTTTGTATTTGTAGAGATAATACTTATCTTGTATAACACGATTACTATAAGATAATCTTAATAATATGCTCTATTTGTTGAATAGATTTTATCATAATTTTTTTAAACACAAACCTATTACTGTTGGGGATGTTAGATCCCCAGAACTCACTTGGTAATTGCCTTAATTTTATAATTTTATTTTGGGAATTTAAATTTCCTTGTTTTCGCGCCAAAAGCACACTTTTCACCTTCATGTCGTGTTTCTCACTTGGGAGAATTTTTAACGCTGTTGGTCCGTTGTGTATTTTTAGTATGCTATTTTTGCAACGCTGCCCAAGGACAGTTTTATGCTGTATGTATACGTTCGATTTGTGTCTGTTAGAATTTACTCGTGCTTCTGGCTTACGGAATATACTTTCCCGTTCCAGGCATGGACTTCTTCCTCTAGTTAGTTGACTTTGGTATAACTGTATTGTTATTTTATTTGTAAAAGATTTTACGTTAATACTTGTCGATTTATTCGATTGGATAGTTTCTCTTTTAAATTATTTAATAAATATTATGATAGTGCATTTGATCATTAAACTAATTCTATTATATTGACATTCAAGCGCATTATTATTACGAATTTATCGAGTTCACATACTGGTTTATTTAGTGAATCTATAGTTTCTACCATTTGACAGATTAAACATTTGATAGTTTTTCAACTGGTTGGATTCAAATGTGTTTTGTTTTACACTAATCCTTGGCTTTTTAAATATATCTCCTTTAAAAAGAGCAAGAACAAACGTTGATGCAGAATAGTATGAATTCATATTATTTCGAGGTTTCTCGTCAGCTGCTTACAAACCAAAATTGTGATAGAATTTTACATGGAGATAGTGTGAAAAAATTGACATAAATGAGTGTAAATAACGTGATTACAATAATAACTATATATATATGCTAGAAACAGGTCAGAGGTCAAAAGAGGGGGGTTAATCCAGGGTGGGTGGTGTAATAATTTAGTGAAGTTCATAAATTGTGTGATAATTGTAGAGATTAATGGAATTAAATAATGATAAGGTAGATTACGTAATAATAATTAAATAGGGTTTGGAAAGTTAAGATGATTTAAGAGGATCAGGTGACGGAAATGTGTGAATAAAATTTATTTTAAGAATTAGGTAATAGTGGGGGGGGAGTATAAATTATCTTAGAATAAGTAAATGAATAAAATAACCAAAACACAAAACAAACAGAAACAAAAAGATTACCAGGGTAGTGATAAGTTTATTAAAGTCTCTTTTTGGATGCATAAGTCCGGTTTCAGTTTCTTAATTGCAATGGCTTCAGCAAAGCGGAGAGTGGTAGTAGTTCTTTGTCTATTGATTATTTTAAACGCGCGCATAATATCGACGGTATGCCCGGTGTCAAGTAGATGCCGAGCTGTTGCACTGGTAAAAGCTTTAGTCCCTCGCAGCGTCAAGTTCTTCGGAATATGCTCAGAAATGCGAACCTGTACTCTTCTCTCAGTTCTTCCAATGTATGTGCTACGGCACGTACATGTGAATTGGTAAATGCAGTTGGAGCAACTGAGGGGAGAGGACTTGTCGATTTTCGTTTGTTTCAGTGAGCAGTATGTTTTCCATAACGTAGTCAGTTTGGCTGCCGGGTAGGTCACTTTTAAAGCGGAATTAATTCTGTGATTGATTATTCCGGCGACTTCATCTCCTTTGAAGCGTAAGGATAGGAAGCAGGTTTTCTTTTCAACTGTATCATGCTTAATCGGAGGGTTTGTATTAGCATATTTGTGGATGAATTTATCCGGATATGCATTTTCACGTAGGCATTTGGTGATTGTAGTAATTTCTTCGTCGAGGCATTCTTTTGAGCAGATTTTTCGTGCGCGGTTAAAAAGGTTTCGCACAATACCCTTTTTATAACTCATTGGACAGAAGCTGTTAAAGTTAAGATAAACTCCGCTCCAGGTATTTTTGCTCCAACTGCATTTACCAATTCACATGTACGTGCCGTAGCACATACATTGGAAGAACTGAGAGAAGAGTACAGGTTCGCATTTCTGAGCATATTCCGAAGAACTTGACGCTGCGAGGGACTAAAGCTTTTACCAGTGCAACAGCTCGGCATCTACTTGACACCGGGCATACCGTCGATATTATGCGCGCGTTTAAAATAATCAATAGACAAAGAACTACTACCACTCTCCGCTTTGCTGAAGCCATTGCAATTAAGAAACTGAAACCGGACTTATGCATCCAAAAAGAGACTTTAATAAACTTATCACTACCCTGGTAATCTTTTTGTTTCTGTTTGTTTTGTGTTTTGGTTATTTTATTCATTTACTTATTCTAAGATAATTTATACTCCCCCCCCACTATTACCTAATTCTTAAAATAAATTTTATTCACACATTTCCGTCACCTGATCCTCTTAAATCATCTTAACTTTCCAAACCCTATTTAATTATTATTACGTAATCTACCTTATCATTATTTAATTCCATTAATCTCTACAATTATCACACAATTTATGAACTTCACTAAATTATTACACCACCCACCCTGGATTAACCCCCCTCTTTTGACCTCTGACCTGTTTCTAGCATATATATATAGTTATTATTGTAATCACGTTATTTACACTCATTTATGTCAATTTTTTCACACTATCTCCATGTAAAATTCTATCACAATTTTGGTTTGTAAGCAGCTGACGAGAAACCTCGAAATAATATGAATTCATACTATTCTGCATCAATGTTTGTTCTTGCTCTATTTAAATTCATAAAGGGAACCAATTGCATGAAATTTCTGAAAAGCTATATCTCCTTTGTTGGTTGAGTTTATGGAGATATAAACTACCATGCAAATTTTGGTATTACTGTCTGCTAAAATGAACTGTTTATCTTTATAAGTAGACTATTTTAGTTAGTTCACTGTAGTTATCTTTCTGTGCCTGTCATAGTTTCATGACTAACGATAATAATAATATCACAGTGGTAATGTTTTAACATTTCTCTGTAATCATTCTGCCTCTTTTTCCTTTCCTCAAATATCAGGAAGTGTTCTATGACTTTTCTGAATCGAAATATCAAAATGCTGAACCACGTCTTTCAATTTATGGTAGATCTATCAATGAATGGGATAATTTGGCTAAATGGGCTATCGATTGTAAAGTTTATTCTGATAATATACGTTGGTTGATTCAAGTGCCTCGTCTTTTCGATGTTTATCACGCCAAAGGATCAATGAAATACTTCCAAGTAAGTTCATATATTTACACATTCTTAATGCACCTATTAGTGCCCCGTGATCTGACTCCTGTTTGATCGGACAAATGGTCGTTATTGAAAGATTGCTGTCGAAATATACTTCCTGATTATTCTCGTATATTATGATCGACTTAAATCGCGTTATTGAATAACGGAATTATATGAGCCAAATACGAGAATGGATTTCGAATACATATATTTTGTACACTCACTGTTCTGGGCAGGCAATCAGAGGGACGAAGCGAAGAAAGAGAAGCCAGCGATGCAAAATGACACACAGTGGAGAAGGCGTGTGAGCCAACTCAATTTAACCAAGCGTTAATCATTATTTATAGTCACACCAAAATAAGCTACAGATATGTGATGAGTAGGATAAGAAGTGTACATACATACGCTCATATAAATACAGTCAGGCTTGATAAGTGAATTAACAAGATCAAAACATGACTCAAGAAGTATCGATAAATTTGCCTGTTCAGAAGCCAGAATAAGTTATATGGGCTTAACATAATAATCGAAGTCAATAACAATGACTACGAGCGTTTTAGGAGCAGTTAAAAGGTTCCACTATATTATTGACATAGTTTAGTTTTTTTCTAAATAAAAAATTATGTGAAAAAGTTTTCAGTGAAAAAATACATTAAAAGTAGTTAAATTCCTGAAATCGAGTTGAGATAAAATAAAATAATTCAATATGTTAACCTTTTCCCATAATCGAATTGTTTCTATTACTTAAATTCCCCAATTTCCTATTAGTAATGATTCGTACTTTTAGTAAAATGTAGGTCATTGTTTTTTTCTTATATTTTAATGAAAGTTGGATTAAATTGACCAGTTGATCATCAGCTGGCTGGTGAATAGTTCATATTACTTTCTGAAACATGTTGACAAAGAGGTTAAATCGATAATGTTTTGTAAAACAGACAGTTCCCACTTATTTGTTGTTTACTTTCCTTGAGAAATAATTGTGGAGTCTTTCAATAATTGAAAATAGTATTAAAATATCATTGAAATGCATTAGATTTTTAGTTTTATTTCTCAGTTTTATAAAGTGAGTATATGAAAACATATGAAAAGCACCAACTCAAGTATTTTGACTGATGTTTATCACCTCATAAATTTTAATGTATCAGACTCCTCCCTAAGGTTTGAAGACTATGTATTCTATTCTGTTCTTTTGGGGATGGTAAAATGTTGATTTACCAATGAAATAAACAAACAATCGATCACGTATACAATAAAATAATAAGTAATTTATTTAAATATCTGTCAATTGTTTTGAAATACATACACTCAGAATAAGTTTGAATTGACTTTGTGGAAGGAGAATAAAGTTTGTAATAAGATTACAACTACTCAGTGCTTATTATATTGAAGTGAGCGGAAATTCTAGTTGGGAAAGCCAATTTATTATTTAATACAAAATTACAGATTGGTTCCGTTATATATGAAAACCATGCATTAAATACATTACTTGCACATCTCCCTTCAATTGTCCTGTACATACTTCATTATTCTTTCAGTTATGTTGTTGTTACAATTGATCCCTATTTACATTTATGCTCTCTTTAATTGAATCTGCTCAATCTTGTCCTGGAAGGCATTTTACTTCTGACTGGTGTTACATACTACTTATATTTGTCAACATACGTAGCACACACTACAAAATTTCTGTTTACAATACAATAAAATCATAAAAGTGTTTTATTTTTGTTATTGCTGCTAGAATCGTTAAACAGCCAACTTTATTGACCAATTTTTACTCCTTATATCAAACAGAAAAATGTTGTGTTAAGTAAACAATAATGATAAGTGAAAGCTATAAATTTTAGCTGTTATGTAACACAGAAAATGATCATTGAATTTAAATATTCAGAATTCTTTTCATCGCTTCATTCCAATGAAAATGTATGTAATTCCATTTTCTACAATATTATATGTCTAAAAGTAACTGAATCGTTGAATTTTAAGTCACAAAAAACTCAGTTTACTATGTATGGTATTTTTTTTAGAATAATGTTTTAGTTTTCTTCATAATTCTTTTCATTTCAGGATATTATCACAAACGTCTTTCAACCATTGTTCGAGGTAACTGTCAATCCTAAATCCCATCCTGAACTACATGCATTTCTACAATATGTAACTGGTTTTGATTCAGTGGATGATGAATCGAAATCTGATAAAGTTGTATTCAATGCGTCAACTCCTACACCGGATGTATATGATTTAAATGAGAATCCTCCATACTCTTATTATATATTCTATATGTTTGCTAATATATCTCAATTAAATCAACTTAGAAGGTGAGCATTTTTCTTAAAATGTATTTTTGGGAATGATGGTTAGTAGTGAGAAGTTATATTTGTTACGTTATGTTTATGCAAGTATGCAGTCAGTTTATGAAACTTACAACTTTGATTCGACTATCTTAAATCCAGTCACTTTTTTATATAAATATAGTTTAGGCGATTTGTGGAGATTGTTGAATTTTCGCGGTTTACATTATCGACTGATTTTAGTTCAATATTTATTGAAAATTAGAAAACACTGGATAGCTGTTTTATTATAGTATCACTATATCACGAATTTATTGAAGTTCAACTTTCACACCACTGAATGATGGTTCAAGCGTTTGCACTTGAGACAAAAGGGCTTGGATTTTATCTCAAAGTTGAGATAGCTGTCCAGTGTTTTCTGTTATTCAAATTATTATCTAAGTAAAAATCACTCACTGACGGGATTAGTATATTAATTGTTCAGTTATGGGAATCAGTTCATGTTTAAGGTCATCATGTGTATGCACTATTATTAAATTGAAATTATTTATAGATTGAAAATAGTTATTCACTTTATCTCGCCAATACCAACGAGATAATCCTTTCGATTTATCTGTAAACAACCTATGAATAACGTTGAATCGATCGTGTCATGATGATGCAAATTATCACGTAAAATAGAACATAAATACTGTAAACTTAATTCTGAAAAAACAAAACAAAAAATTAAACAAAAATAAACAGAACTAATAAAACAAAATAGACTTATTAGAATAATATGAATTCATTCATTTTATAGATTAGCCTTCAACTGCTTAAAAATTGGAAATGATAGTATTAATTAAACAAAGATGGATAGTGGTTATCAGTGGAATCGAGGACGTGCGATTCGTCCTATTTTGGGACTTGTCAGCTGGATGTACCTGCATCGCAGAGTTGATGTTCACTCTGGGACTCGAATCCAGTACCGTTCCCTTCAAACGCCATCGCGTTATCCACTTAGCTACTGAGTCCTGATAGCCATCTACTTGTGCACTGCTAGCCACTATCCATCTTTGCATAAAAAGCTTGTTACTTAAGGCTTTATCAAGGCAATCCGCACAGGATTCGCATATGTCAACATGAGATTGATCAATCGCAGTCCTAAACAACAATGGGAAGATACAAGTAGAACAACACCAAGTGGTTAATATTAATTATTCAGAAACAAGATGGTTTACATACTCTATATAAAAAATATTCTTATTAATGAACAATAATAAACCAACAATAAATATGGGAGAATCCTAAGAGATTTTCATGTGTTTGAATAATTCTTTGCTTAGTAGTGTGAACATTCAAAAGAAAATTTTAAGAACGACTAGGGATAGTTTACTGATAAATTTGATACAAAAATTCTTAATTCGAAGACCAATTATTAATGCACAGATATGTGATTTCCTATACGGGAGCGAATCTAAAAACTTCCAGGTTTCTCTGGATAAACTATTGAATCAACTTACTTGATTCACAATGTAGCTCGATGATCATCCTATATAATCTTTGATAACTGTCTCACTCTTAACATATTCATACTTCACTGATTAATGATTTCTAAATGGACTTCAGGAATCCGTTTTCTCAATAATCATTAGTAGGCATACTATTATCGTTTATGCAGAGAATTTGTGTGAATCATTCAATTTGAGACTATTTTTCATCATGGTCTATGATCGACTGTTTGGATAAGAATTATGTATTGATTTCTAACGTCCAAATGTTAAATCGAGGTAATACTTACATTTTTCCCGAATACCCATTTTCTACTGTCTTATATATTCAGTAGTTTAAAAGTGCACTTTAAATTTGTCTTTCTGTTTGTCCACTAGCGTGAGTTAAAATTTTGTTCTAGAATTATTTTATTTGAGGACCTTGATATAGAATTGTGTGTTTATTAATTTCGGTGTTAAATTTCTTCCGGGATGAAATCAGAATTCATTCACTGTGCATACACTTTTTACTGGTGTTGTTTTGTCGGAGTGGAATTAACATTATCACCTCAAATGATGATATCACTCATATTTTTTTGCTTCAAAAGGACAGTTATCCTACGATTTTTGAAAGCAACCAGTGGTGATAGGTGTGATCATAAATTTCTAAAAATTGTCCTATTGTCCCTGTAATCTCTTTTTACCTAATCCCTGATTAATCATTATTCATGGGAATTCAATTGATAACCGTTCAAAACATCGGTCAGGAGTGCAACAATCAAGTAGTTTTTTGGGCTGACTGTATCTCATAGTCGTCGAATTATAACAATAAATTCTGTTTACATCATTGTTTTTAGGTTTAATAAAACATAATTTTAACGTAACATTTGTTAGCCTATCGGCAATCAATTCATGGCATTTCTTTTCATTAACTATTCATGTTTTCTTATACAACTAGTTCGTAATGTTGCTTTTTTCATCCTATAAGCAGAGTATATTAATTTAGTCATGTTCTTATGTTTTTCTTGTTGTGTGTTTGCAATTCTTTTTCAGTCATCGTGGCTTAAATACATTCTCATTTAGACCTCATTGTGGTGAAGCAGGTAATATTAATCATTTGGTTACTTGTTTCCTGTTGGCTGAAAGTATCAATCATGGTTTGTTGTTACGTAAAGCTCCTGTTCTACAATATCTTTACTTTATTGCTCAGGTAAAATGTTTAATACCGTTTTCTTTCCGACAAACATTTATTTGTTTATCATGAATGATGTGAGTTAGTAGATCATGTAAACATTTTATGTTTACAGTGCATCTTATACTTATGTAGTTATTTACCCATTTTGCAGTTCTAGAAACTGATGAAACTGTTTTAAGATTTTTACTGGTGATTGTGGTATAGCAGTTTAAAAATCCCCATAGAATATATTCAAAAATGAAGAATATTTGAGCGAACAATTGTTTTCAATAACTTCATCATAAGATTCTACAGTTATAAGTCCATAATTATGATATTTTACAAAGGCCAAAAATAAGGCATGTATTAATGAATTTGACAATGTTATGTGTCAAAAATGGTGAACGTTTGCATCTGTTACGATATATATACTCCAAAATTCTATTATTTGCAAATTAGGAATGTCATTCAATAAAGGTCAGGATGATTTAGAGTAAATTGTCTAGTCACGATAAGTAGAATAGTATTATAGCAAAAATGGAAATTTTGATTGAGATCATGAACCGATTGATGTTAGACCACCACTGAAAACCTGGAAGCACTGGACAGCTATTTCGCCTCATTGCGGGACTCCTCAGCAGTGCGCATCCACGACTCCGCTCGCGCGCGAACACCTAACCTGCTGGACCACTGAGCCGGTGTCCAGTGATGTTAATGTCTAACCTCAACTAATCCACGGAGTTGCGCAACCATCTTCCATTGTACTGAAGTAGACACCTGTTTCTGCCCGACACGGATTAGCTCCACTGGTCACGGCTTCTCACCAGAACTCCGAGTCCCACAATAGGACTAAACGGCGATCCAGTGCTTCTAGGTTTTCAATGGTGGTCTAGCGTCAATCGATTCACGATCTCAATCAAAACTTAACAATCTCCACAACCCCTATAATGAAAAACGAAAATGCGAAATTGTGTGAATAAGATGCATAGTAGGAGAATTTAATCTTATCAGTTTAGATTATAATATAATCTGTAATAAATGGGATGTTATCAAGGTAATTATGATTGCCCCCAAATACCCTGGTATGGCTGAGAGTGGGGTGGGCCCGCCCTCCCTCTCGAAATGCTCTCACACGGCCACGTGTATACAGCCTCTGCCAGGGAAGTCCTACTCACTGCCTTCTCGAGGTGGGGGTGTTGTTTACGAAAATGAGAGGACGAAAAGCGAATGTCCGGCGCTTCAACTGGATTTCAAACCAATGGTGCACATGGGCTCCAGTATCTTGCAGGAACAAAAGGCGTATGAACCAATCGTTGGTCACCGGCTACCATGGGAATGCATCTCCTCACGATGCTCCACTGCCTTGTGGATCAGACCTTTAGGTCAAAGGCTCGGGGTGTGGCTCCCTATGAAAACCACCTGCTTCGGTCTGGGCACCCAGGCAGTATCACAGCCCACACACACACAAATATGGTGTGGCGCATATATATTTGATGCCCTATTGTACCAATATTTGTGTGTTGAAATAAATAAATAAAAATAAATAATTACGATAAACGCATTGGGAATGGTGGATGTGAAGTTTGGGATAGAGGTAATTAAAAAAAGAGAGGGGGGTAAGATGTTTATAATATTCAGTTTAGGTATCCGGTGATCCACTCGTGGGCCAAGGTAAACATAGAGGCTGGATGTACTTTTTCTGGATACATAAGTTTGGTTTTCTGGAGTTTATCCAGATGACTTCGGCTATGTATAGCAATCGTAATCTAGCTCCTTGAGGTAGATATTTTAGAACTTGATATAAAACAGAGAGAGCTTCCTCTATTTTGATATAATGTTCACTATCTACCAAGTGTGAAAGAATAGTGCTGTTAATCGATATAGTAACTCCTTTTCCCAACCATGCTGGTACATGTTCACGAACAAGCAAGGATAAAGCCCTCTGAGTACGACCTATGTAACTAGCTCCACAGTTGAATTGATATGCATTTATGGAGGAGCCCATCTTCGGTAACCTATCCTTGATTAGTTGTGTGAGTACTGGTTTAGTTGAGAAAATTATGTGTAACTTAGAGGCGTGACACGTCCTTTCAACAGATCTTTTGAGCCGACGTGTTAAAATATCACCCGCTATGTCCCCTTTAAAGTCTCAGGTTTTTTTTACTGACTTTGTCACAATTTCTTCCTTTTTTTAAGACTTTCTACGAGGTACTTTTCAACGAAATTATCTGGATAGCCATTATTTCGTAGTGTTCTTTAGTATATCTATTTCGCCATCAACACTGTCTTCAGAACATAATAACTTGATTCTGTGGTTGAGACATTTCATAACTGCATAATTTTCTTATACTGAAACTTACTAATTACTCTTATTAACCAAGTCATTAATATAAATAAATACTATATTTGTAATATCCCAATGAGTAGAAAATTAGATTTTCTACTCATTGGGATACTACAAATATATTATTTATTTATAACAGTCTACCCAATGCTCAATTTATTCGAAATTATCAAATCAAACCTTGGTAATGATACATACAAGTCATTAATAGTCGAGTTCACCAAGTTCGAGGTAAGGAAGCTGTTGACCAAATAACATTAGGTAATCGATACCAAGCTAGATGCTTATTTTTGTTAGCCAAACCAAAAACTGTATGTTCCAAAATTGTATAATGCTCTAACACTTGAAATATTTATTTTAAAGAAATATGACTTATACATTTTACTAGTTAATCGCAGAATAATCGATTACATGATTATCAGAATAGATTTATAGAGATCGTTGAGTTCTTATTGAGGTCATGAACCCATCAATTTTACATCATCACTGAAAGCCTTGAAGCACTTGACGGCCGTTTCGTCCCATTACGGGACTCTTAGGTAGTGTACATCGACGACCGAAAGTCTCGGGTTTAAGTCCTGCGTGTGGGATCGTGCGTGCGCACTACTGAGGAGTCTTACACTTGGACAAAACGGCCGTTAAGTGCTTCCACGTTCTCAGTGGTGGTCTAACAGTGATCGGTTCATGATTTCGACTGCATAACTGGCTAATACTAACTCAGTAAAATAGTCCAGTGATTACCTGTCGCCTATCAATGATTTGTCTTCATTTGATTTCTTTGAAATTCTTTCACGTAGCTGTCAGTCACAATTAAACTAAGGATGAAAGTCGACCTAGATTTTCCTGAAGACTTCGTAAAATAGCCTATCGAAGTATACCCACTCGGATGCGGAGTAAACGTTCGTTTTATTTATCTGAAGTTAATTATATTTTAAAATTCTATCTGAATTTATAATAATTTTCTTTTGTTAGTTAGTGAACCTATTCATGAGTTTTTTATCTATTCATTTTTTTTTCTATAATGCCTCAAATCTTCAATAACAGATCGGAATAGCTATGTCACCCTTGAGTAATAATTCTTTGTTTTTGGATTATCATCGTAATCCATTGAATGACTTTTTAGCACGGGGTCTGTTTGTCAGTCTTAGCACTGATGACCCTTTACAATTTCATTTTACTAAAGAACCATTGATTGAAGAATATAGTATAGCTGCTCAAGTATGGAAATTCACATCTACTGATATGTGTGAATTAGCACGTAATAGTGTTTTGATGAGTGGTTTTTCTCCTCTGGTAAGTTATTATGATAATAATTATTATTTGTGTAAGATTATACATTTCCTTATCTGAATATCAATTGCAGAGAAATAGTTCCATTTTTACGTTTTCTTTCATGAAAGTTTTGAGGTATTGTACAATTTTTAGTGGTATACTCATGAAATAGAGTATATAGATATATTTTGTGATGGTAGAGAAGATTTGTAGCTCAGGTAGATGATTTTGGTGGAGTTTTGTTCTTTGAGCTGGATGGTTTGGTCGTGGGGCTTTCATCGTTCTTCTGAATGACATCATCAGCACAAACTTCAAATAGAACAAAACTCCACCAAAATAGATATATTTTGTCATTAAGTCACATTTATGGCACATTATATTGGGCAATCATTCATTTAGAAACAGATATTTCAACATTTTCGATACCTTTTAAAATGAACTATATTGTAGTGATGTGTTTATCTTGTTTAACTTATGTAATTTCGAATATCCATATTTTGCAAACATTTTATTTTAGATTTAGGAGCTGAAGTTAAATGTAGACCATTTTCTTGGTTCTCAGGAAATAACTTAATTGTTCAGCTGGTAGGAAAATACTCTTTCTGGTGATCAGATTTTCAATTAACAGTATTTGAATAACTAAACATATTCCGGATTATTTCAAATTAGCGTATTTAGTTTAATTAATAAATTACTTCTGTATCCACAATTAAAAAAGATAGATCTTTCGAATTAGTATCAGTTATATTCCCTTTAAAATATCGTATTAACCAATTAAATTTGTCTTAGGTAAATGAGTTACTGAGATGCTTTTTAAACATGTTGATTGTAACAGTTTAATTACCAAACTTACCTTTGAGCGTGACGTTTGAGGGTGTAGGAGTAGGTTACAAGAACGGTAGGATCGTTCGAATAAGGGTGTGATATCAGTTTATCAAATAATTTATTATCAGCTTTGTTACGTCCTATGGCTCGTGACATTTTACGTGACAAAATCACCAATTAGAACACTGACTTACATGACCTTGTCCCTGTCCTAAACCAATGTCGCGTTAACCAGCCGACCATCTCTGAGTCCCTATTGGTCCCCCGTATGGTAGATTCTCGCCCAACCCAGCCCGCTCAGTCAAGAACACAAATATCAGCCTCCGCTATACGAATCGTATATTTCGGACATGGTTTATATAAAATCAGACCAGACCACATCACCTCACTAAATAAAAAATAATTATAGAAAATCAAGCCAAAAGTAGCTGTAAGTGTGAGAGGCTAACTCATAAATCGGGAATGACTTAAGAATAGTAGACCGTATAATAATAGTCAACAGATCAAATGAAAGTTTATGATAAGAGAAATGTAAATATATATAATCTAGTTAGTTAATAGTTATACAATAAGAATATATATATATATATATATATATATATATATATATATATATATAACAGTCCATAAATATTTCCAAGAAGTTACCCATAATATCATCTTCTTCGGATACAACAAGGTTGTGGGTAAGTTAAGAGCACCTGGTCGGGGTTCGGGCGGTTATCATAACCACTGATTGGAGGAAACATCGAGTCATAGCTGAAAATCGGTTGAAATGGCACAGATGGATTCAATCTCCATCTTCCTTTAGATCACGTGTTTTAAGATTTTCTCATGCATTATAACTTCCCGAATTCATATTTTCTTGAATTATAATGTCTCTCCTTATCGCCTTCTACTAACGCGGATACTGTTACAACTCCTACTACTTTAATATTCTTGATAATTTTATCTAGCTGTGCTGATATAGTGTGGGAGCTTTCTCTGATGGCCATATATTTCATGTTCTACTTAGTTTGCAAATGACTGGCTGACTAACAATTTAATTATTTTATTTCCTAATTTGTTGTTGTTCTGTTACAGATTAAATCTCATTGGCTTGGACCTAATTATACACAAGAAGGTGTTATGGGTAATGATATAACTCGAAGTAACCTACCCAACATTCGTGTTGCTTATCGTTTTGAAACTTTAACACAAGAATTACGTTTGTTGTTAAATTCTGTGTTAGCGAGTCGAACTAGTGGATCTGTTTCACCTGGTAGTAATACAGTAATGCATTCTCCAAAAAAGAATCATATTTCAACAGATTCTAGTCGAATCGATCATTTAAAGAAATGATTATTCTTGATATAATATATATACAATGATTATCGATACTAATTAGCTGCTAGTAACACTTTTGTCTTCTTTTAAATGTGAATTCACTTATCTTAATTTGAATTCTTCTTTCTGAATATATTTGTTCATGGTTTGTTATGAATTAAGCAGTTGTAACACATTCTAACATTCATATAAATATCTACACTTCTTACAGATAAATATCATAACGTGGAAAGTAATTTTTCATCCACATATTCACATGATCTACATTTTTCTTTCTTTCTGATGTGCTTATTTTGATTTATTATTAATTAATTAAGAGTCTTAATATAAGTACCATTTCATGCAAAATATTTTATTACTATTATTTCCGGGAATAATTGTATCTCACTTACACCATTCATCATTTAATGATGATAATCCACTGTTTAAACTTTCTCTGCGTTCATCAATTCTGATGAAATGCTGTTAACACCACATCTACAAGGAGAAATTCACTACATTGATGATCATTTTAATTGTATCATTAAAGATAATAATTTGTGCGTGAATATACACACACACAAACGCACAAGTTGAATGCATTTATGGTAAAAGTGCAAATGTTTTAATACAGTGTTGATTAATCTGGTTAAAGATGTTTATGTTGCTTTTTAATTGTGTACGGTAACAAACCTTTATGTTATTATGTAATAAGAATGAACTTTGTAATATCATTAATGTCTATCATGTGTTTTTTGTTTGAAATACACAATTATTTGTTCAATCAATGTTTATTTTAATAATAATCATTTTAAACAAGAATATTTTCTACTTACTCATTCGGTTTGATTATCTATCTAGAAAGTGAATTGGTTTATTTTTAGAATTGAAATATGTACGATATGATAGATATAATATAACTACTTTACATTGTTTAATCAGAGATGGGAAAAAGCACAAGAGGATGGAGGACTTTTTAGTGTGTTTATGTATAAGTTGATTAGCACTATATTTATTCTGGTTAGAGTTTTTTTAGTAAGGCTTTTTCCTACGGAATGGGATTGCCGACCCCATACCCAACCCTCCTACTTTACCCGACTTTGGGACGGACAGTAACTTAAGAAGAGCTATAGGCAGAGAACAATAGTTATAGAACAATAATAAGAGTAAAATATTATGAACTCATCTTAGTTTCTAGTTTCTCCTCAGCTGCTTACAATCATATCTGTTTTTAAACATAACATAATATTAAATAATATACCACTGGTAACTGAACGATTTGGAATGACGACGATATCCTGTATTATATATGTATAAATAAATAAACCAAATATGTGTAAATTCATTTGAAAAGATATATTAAGAGAATATAAGAGGGAGCGGTAGTTAGCTAAAATCTGAAATTAATAAGGTGGATTGGATTATAATTGTCACTCTTCAAATAACTCACAGTTATGCTCTCAATATCCCTATTCAAATGACTTGTTTTTATATATATTTATTTATTCGTATATAGTACAAGTTATTGTTGTCATTCCAACTTGTTCATATACCAGTCTTAATATTATATTGTCTGTAGACAAATTGTTTGTAAGCAGCTGAAGACAAACTACAAATTCAGATGAATTCATAATATTTTGCTCTAATTATTATCCTAGCTTTATAAAAATTCATGAATGGAACTGATATATGTTTCACTCGATTTGTCATTTCTGATGACCATTAGTCGATATTCTCTCGGTCGGTATTCACTTCACACATTACTCATTTGGTTTCACAGATCATGGGTGACTGAATATTATTCATAAAATAATTCAAAACGTATTAGTATGTCATAAGCAGGATATCGTACATATTCAAGTGATGTTCAAGCTCGACTAGAAAAAACTTATATATATTCTTTTGTATATGTAACTGAGCCCTCAAATGCCCTGGTACGACCGAAGGTGGGAAAAGTCAACTCTCCGTTTCGTAATGTTCTCACATAGCCAAGCGTATACAGCCACTGCCAGGGAAGTCCTGCTCACTGCCTTCTCGCTGCTGGGGTGTTGTTTACGATATTGAGAGGACGAAAATCAAATGTCCGGAGCGTTAACCGGGTTAGTGGATATGAAGGATCCATTGAGGGGAGTTGGGAAACCCTGATTCCAAACCAATGGTACACATGACCTCCATGGACTTGAGGAAACAAAAGGTGTATGAACAAATTATTGATCACCAGCTATCACGGGACTGCGTCTCCTGACGTTACTCCACTGCCTTGTGGATCAGACCTTCACGTCAAAGTCTCTGAGTGTGGTCCGGTAAGGAAACCGCCTGTGTCGGTTTGGCCATCTTGATAATATCACTGTGCATACACGGATCAATTGACTTGTGTGGCTCATATGTACTTGGTGCCCCCTTGTACCAATATTTATGTGTTAAAATAAAATATGTAACTATGGTTGATATATTCGTGTCAAGCATTATTTGAGTAGTGAACAATTTAAGAGACACGAATTCAGTTATCCATCTACAGAATCTCAGGTTAAAGGAAATATTTCATTTTGAACATGTTGCTGGTTATTTACGCAGTGATAATTATGTGTTGTGTAAGCTATACGGGTACACGCAAAAGCTTTTAATAATTTTTTTATTTATTGCAAACTACTGAATAATAGTAAGTAAACAATTTCTAAATTGATATCTTTGTTCGCCAAGCAGAAAACAAATTCTCATTACTGAACGGCATATTTACAACTAGATATTTCTCAAAATTTTCAGTGAGAGAAGTATTTTCTCTTTTTCACACGTATGTTAAGCATTGATTTATGATCCATGGTGTTAACGTTGGTATGAACGCAATGATAACTGACATTTGATTGTAAGAACCTCGTCAAAACTGATATACTGTTAAACAGGTTCAAAATATTTGTAGAGTGATGGTCTAAATCAATATGATATATACTTGACAGAAAACTACATAAAGCTATAAAGTAGTGTGAGTTTGAACGTTTGTGGAAATCAAATTGATCGTTTATATGCCATTTCTCTCATAAAAAACATTAGGCATATCTCTAGCTTGAGCTTCACTAAGGACAAAATCTAACCTCACATGAAGTACTAATTTAAGCAGTGTGGATTATCTTGGAAACAGTTTACTAGAGCTATTCAGAGACAATTTTATTCAACTTATGACCAATTTTGTTTGATTTTTCTATGTGCAACAAAACATTTTAACTAATGTTTACTAATCTATTATTTTAATTCGTAGTACTAATAGTTGAAAACATCCAGATTTATGGTAAAAAATCAAAATATATTTATATTATTAACAACAACTACTACATACGTTTAATTCGTGGACCCATCGTGTAATGTCTTCAATTTTCAGTAGTATTGAAGTCTGAATTCATTTTACACATGTCAAGGCTTAGATTAGCCTACCGACTGATAGGCGATGCACGATAGAGCTGATTCATTAAATTTAGAAATGTAAACCGTTTAATCGAAAATTAGTAGTTTAAACTAAATAGATTTCTTATAAGGTCTGTAGGTCCTAGTTATACCTCTCTCTGGCTCGTTTATAGGGATTACTGAGGACTCTCATAATAAGATAAAACCGCTATTCATTGATTGTCTAGATAAAGTCAATTCATGATATGATCTGCAAAATTATTTCATTTTTTCGATCCAAATCTTAAAAATTGTGGCAAAATCTCTGATACAGACCATTATGTTCATTTAATTAAGAAGTAAATAAAGCTTGGACAATAGATTATATGAATGATTAAAATCTATATTCTTTCTCATTGTTATTTAAATTAAATTAATTAAGAATGGGATGACTGTATACATAAATTGAATTAAGGAAAAACAAGTTGAATTACAATTTATTGAAAACAACCAAACTAGCAATGAAGTGAGATATTGCGGGAGTCTACGTAAGTTTCGAGAATTAGTTGATTAAAAAACCGATGGATGATAGGATGATCTTGGTGTTCACAAAATAAGAATTGGTTTGACAAAGTTCACATAACAAAATAAACACTAATAAAATGATGACAATAATAATAACAATGACAAGAACAAAAATAATAATTTACCGAGGTAGTGACAAGTTGGTCACTGTTTCCTTATCGCTACTACTTCGACAAACTGCAGAGACGCTGTTTTTTGTTGGCTAATAATTTTGAAGAATTATGGATTGTCAATGGTATGCCCAGTATCAGTTAAATGCCAGGCCATCGGATTATTTAGAGCCGTTGGGCCTCTCAGTCTGAAATTCATCGAAAGGTGCTCAGAAATGTGAAGATGTACTGATTTCTCTGTTTTTTCAAGGTATGTGATTTAACACGTACATGAAAAGTGGTAAATGCAATTGGATGTACTGAAAAAAGAAGACCTTTTAGTTTTTCTTTGTTTGATTGAGTAGTTTGTTTCGTATAACATATCAGTCTTGTTGAAGGATAAGCAACCTGCATTTCGGCATTTATCCTGTGGTTAATAATTCCACTAATTTAATCTTCTTTGAAGCGCGGACATAAGAAGTATGTTTTCTTTTTCACTGTATTTAACATGTACGTTGATTTTCGAATATTCTCCACAAATTTCGCTGGATATGCATTTTCACGTAGGTAAGTTGTAATGAAGTCAATTTCTCCTTCCAGGCTTTCTTTTTAGTAAAGTTTACGAATGCAATCTAAAGGAATTTATACAATTCCCTTTTGTAACTATTTAGACAGAAGCTGTAGTGGTTTAGATAAACTCTACCTCATTATTTTTTTAAAATGAATGTGCCTTTGTAGTGTGCCGTCTGAAATTCGCTTGATTCAAACATCAAAGCATTAGAATCTACCTTTCACTTCATGTTCCTTAGTAAAATCTAGATGATTGTGTGCTCTGTTAAACAGGTCCTGTAGGTACATAGAGTCCTTCTGATTGTTATAGACAAAAAATCTGTTATCAGTATATCTACAATGGAGTGTAGTTCCTTCAATTAAGTGTTTAATCATTGCTTGTTCCGGGTTCCCCATAAATATATCAGCCAGAATTTGACCCAAGAGGCTACCCATGGTTACTCCATCAACTTGGCCGTACAACGCATTTGTGGACTGAAATTATGTAGTTTTGGTACACATAAACAGGAGCTATTTTAACTCACTTATTGGGAAAGGAAGTAATTCAGGATATTTTTCCCGGAGTAATTTTCGTGGAGAGATGAAACGTTAAAGGATACCATAAATTATCGGAAACATTGAAGCTATCAATCTTTTGTGTAATTTCAAAGATATTCTTCAGACCAAGGGACTGTAATAGATCAGTCACTTTTTGGTATATGTGCATCCTGTGCGGATCGCCTCAAGTTACAAGCATTATAAGCAGAGATGTATAAAGTGTAGCGGTACATCCAGCTGAACACTCTCAATTAAGATAAAACGCTCGTCCTGTATTCACTGTTAACCACCATCCATACTGGTAAATCATTGTACATTTTGGCTAGTGATTATGATGATACCAGTAGTTCAAACTTATGTTTCGTTTATTACTAGGGGAAAAACGATTGATCAAATTTTGAACTCATTTGATAAAATAAGGTTAGCATCAAAATTATGTTGATGATAAAAAATAGTCGTCAATACTAAAATTTAGACAGGGACGGACGGGGATTTAATAAATTTTTAGGTAAAAGTTTATTTGAAAAAGATCGTAACTTATTATTTTAAATATAGCTGAATTTTAACTATCAGTGTATCCAAGGTATGAGTTTCGTTTTGTTTAGGTCACATGTAAAAACCGGTTCAAATTGAATAGTTGTGAGTAAAAACTGAATT